ATACCTTGCTATCCGTGGATCTATAAAAGTACCGAGTAAACAAACATATTTAATATCGGTGTTATTTTATTTTCACATAAATTTGAATACAAAAAAATGAAAAAAAATGTAAAACATACACATTCTTCCCCAAAAACGAAGAAGGCAATTTGATGCGTTTTTCGATATGAGACTTTTTCATGTCTCCTTGTAGTACCACATCTTGCATTCCTTCATAAATTTCGGAAGATAAATCTTTCTGCAAACGACCTAATTCGAACATCTAATAAACAATAAAATTAACAAAGTAAGTATGAATGATAAAGGAAATTGGTAACTATTAAACGGAAAACCATACAAAATATATATATAGGATATAAACAATCGAAAAATTACAGTATAAACTAATCGAATATTAACTAAATAATGAAAGAATGGAATTAGCGTATACAACCTTTTTTCTTGCCGTGTGCTTTGTTATATGAATGAGAAATAATGGATGTGGAGTGAGGTATTTATACTTAGGTTTTATGTAATAAAAGGTAAATAGTATACATATTTAAGGAAATCAATTATATGCATTAAATTGATACAATTAAAATTATTTCACTTTAGAATATAAGAATAATAATTGAATATATTATGGATTGAGGAATATATTGTTACTAAAATAGTGTGAGATTTATTAATTATAATATATAATTACATATATATTACGGATTTTAATTCGTATTAGATGACAAAATTAATCATTACCATAATAACCTATATAGTATTAAGGAAATATATAATTGTCATAAAAATATCATTTTCTAATAAAAAATGACAAAATTAATCATTACCATAATAACCTATATAATTTTTCTTTTAATAAAAAAATAAGATTTTCTAATTGGAATAAAATAAAATATTAATAATATTTCTTTATTAAATATAAAAATATTTTTATTACGCAATTGACGTACTATGAATATATCTCTATTAATAGAGTGGTAATAACTAATAATTGTCCTTAATTATAATAAGAATTCCTTAATTTCTTAGTGTACACTTATTGATATTAATTTCTCAAAGTAATGTATGCCGTAATTTAGGTATTAATTTTATAATAATATACAATTAATTACGATATAATTAAATCCGTATTAATTTAAAATTATTAATTCCATAATTAACTTCCATAATTTCGAATAAATATCCACAATTTAAGATCACTACCGTAAATAATATGCATTGATTTCGATTTACTAAATAATGTTTGATTTATTCCGATTCTTGCAATCAAATCCGATTTTGAAAGTGAAGGTATTTATGGTATATGTAATGACACTTGGGCAATGACTGGGATGTATACATGGACGCCTACGTGGATGACAAATGTCGAAATTCTAGGCTATGAGGGTTTCAATTTATATATTATATAGATTTTTAATTTTTTTGATCACATATTTGATATTTCTCATTTTTTTTTTCCTCCAATGACATTCATAGTAAATCAGATTTGCTAGCAAAATTTCTAATCCACTCGAATAAATGTTTTTTCTGTTTCTTTTCATGTCTTATTTTCCTTTCAGATTGTTACCAACACACAAATTCTAGGCTGCATATTTGTAATTATTATTATTATTATTATTATTTATATTTCTTTATTGTCTATTAATTTCCTAATTTTAACTTTAAAAATGTTATCCTATTAATAAATAAAACAATTATTAGGATAAAATTATTTTGATGGTGGGGAAGCGTTCAACCATTCAAAGGGACAACTTCTGCCGATTATATATTTGACAGTTGATAATCACACGAGTCACTACCTACGTGGCAATATAAATTCAATCGATTCATGTTGTGCATGAATTAATGAAAAAAAAAATGAAAAAAAAACGATTTGTTTTTTTAATTTCTTTTAGTAAACGAAAATTAATTCACAAATTACACCCAACTATATAAATGTAACGACATGGAAATCACATAAAATGTAAACTATACCAGACGTAAAGAACGTGCGACAAACTCGATTAATTTTGCTTTGATTGCATGTTGTAATAATATACCAATACAAAAAACCGGAATGTATTGAAAAAAACGAACGGCTTTGATTGCATGTCGTAATTTTTTGTTGAATATTGCGTTGTCGATAATTACCGAGATTTTAACGAGGACACGTTTCAACATATTTGAAGCATGGATGTTTTGAATAACTTTCCAAACAACACGTTTCCGATAATATTTGTTAGAATTTATTTCGTGCAGATATAAATTATTTGTGTCAGATTCAGTTTTTCGTTACTGTTGCGTGAAGAGTTGCAACAGTTCGTGAAACAGTTTGTAAAAACAGAAATAAACGAGACACAAATTTAATGTGGTTCGGATACAACTGTACCCTACATCCACGGGGACCTGCAAATAAAATTTACTAATTTTTAGTTTTACGAATACAATAATAGGACTTAATCAAAATACAAAGACTCCCTCTTTGTTGACGCCGTTCTTGTATACTACGCTGAATTATAAATCTTCAATTTGCAGCACGTCCCTTGCTCCGCACGGTTGAACTCCCTTCAACGCTGAATCCCTCAGTCGGCGGATCGATCTCCTCCCGAGATCTGTTTAAGCCCCTCTCCCGAAGAACCGATCTTCTTTTTGTATAGAAGAAGCAAACTTGTGATACTCCTTGAATCTGTGTCTTCACCACAAAGCCTTGAAGCCGGTATATTTTCTATGAAAATCACGTATCACGATGGAGCAATAAAAACGAGAGAGAAAAAAAATATTTCTCTGAAATCTTCTCTCGATTAACAAGACGCTCCGTGAGCAGCAAAAATAAGAGCGGAAAAATATAATTTTTCTTCTCCAACAAAAGGCGTGCTACAGCAACCAAGAAAAGAGAGATCGGCTTCTCTCCAAAACGACGCCAATAAAAACGAGAGTAAAGAAAATATTCTGCGTAAATTTTTCTCTCTAGGAAGACGTGAGATCTGAGGCGCCGTATTGCTGTATTTATACTTCTACATGTTATAAGAATCCTACAAGGAAAAAAGAGTCCATTAGGGTTAGGAAACTCTTAATTACGTAGGAAATAATATTTTCAAAACAAGGAAACTCTTTAGAAGAATAATTCCTATTATAAATCAATTAATGACAAATTAAAAGAATTAAAAGCTACAAGGACTCTTCCCTTCTTTAGCTCAGGGTATATGAAAACTTGTGGCACAAGTTTTATTAATTCTCGTACAATTAGAATCCATAGGATTCTAACAATCTCCCCCTTTGTCGTTTATTGATTATAATTATTTTGTCCCGCTGAGTAAAAAACCTGAAAATAAAACAATCAGATGATTAGACCGAAGCAAATAAAACGAAAGATCATCATCAACTCTTTTCAACAACAAGAGTGGCATCAACTGCTGCAACAGTAAGTGCCACAGTTTCAGCAACTGTTCCCACAGTAGTGGCTTTGGCAGGTGGTTCACAACGGAGTCAGCTCCCCCTGCATGTGTATCTCCCTCTGTGAATGATCCTTAGGCAGCTCCTCTTGTAAATGCATTCATTCTTCCCCTTTGCTTACTCGGCTTGATAGACATGGAAGGCGGTGGATGAAAACGTGGTAAATTATCCACGTGATAAGAGACTCAGCAAATAACGTCGGCATTAGCTCCTCCTTTTATATTCTTGTGAAGCTCTGAAAATAAAACAAGGAAACCAATTAATGACAATTACCACAATAATAATAAAAAGATGGAATTCCTTCTATTTTGGATAGACACGTTCAGGTGATTAATATGGAGAGATAATTTATTTCTTCTCAAATTATCTAATGAGATAACTAAGGAAAATATGTTCCTCATATTAATACACATCTCCATAGAATTCCACTTGGTGTTGTGGACTTAGAATCCCACCGAGATTCTAACACTCTCCCCCTTTGGCATTGATTGGTCAGAACATTTACTCCCCCTAACTATATGATACATGCATGAACAAGGGTTAGCAAATTCAAAATAACATCTGCACATATAAACTGTTGCAACAGTTTATCAAACAGTTCACCAGATAGTGTAAACTGTAAATAAACCATAGTTCCAAAATAAAAGCAGATAATTCGTTCAGATAAGCACGAGATAAAAAGGATATGCAGTAGCAGAAACAACTTCTCTTCACAATGCTTATTATTTGTCCTATATTTCTGCCCAGCAACTGTCTCATGCACTGTTTCAACAGTTGTCTGAACCCCCCTGCATTCCTGCACTGTTCCAGCAACTGTCGCAACAGTTGTCGGAACTCCCCCTGTGTTCATGCCATCGTTACTGTTCTTTTCTCCTGTTCTTTTCTCCCCCTTTCTGGGCAATCACCATGCAGAGATAACTCAACATGGACTAATGATCTTGATGATTCAAGCAAGCTGTTCAAACACTTAACAAAAAGATCAAAACGAAGAGAGAATCTTGGAAGTAAGTGAGAAGAATCACTATACATAACGTGCACACAAAATCACAAAATCACAAACTCAAAACCACACGATAATTGCAATGCAAAAATTAAAGAATAGTGATATCAAATCCAACATTAAATAGCAAAGACTACAGACTTTGCCAAACTTCATAAGAAACGTGGAAATGTGAGGAGTAAGCCCAATCGATCCGGTTGCAACAAAAAATCAAATTTAACCGGCACATAAACAAAAATCCCGTCTCTCTTTTTTTTTTTTTTTTTTTTTTTTTTTTTTTTTTTTTAAATAATGCCTAATGCAAGACAAGAAGTAAACATGAGAAATAGACATGAGTGAAGAGACATATGTGAATAGGATACTGCATGGACAAACAAAACATATGGGATTTATCTTCACATTCACGATAAGCACAATCCCCAAAAATCCGACTGCCAATGCAACCAACAAACTTAATAATCCCAAGTCAAACACAAAGATGCTCTTATTAGGTAGCGTACACACACGTCTAATGGTAGCTTTTTCTCATGAAAAACAGAGCAATTAAAAGGAACGAGATTATGCTGGTCGTGCAATGTGTAGTCCCCTGGGCTTTCTAATTGAGCTTTTGTAGTAAGTGTTCGGTCAAGTGGTTTACTGGCTCGACTCAACTAGGCTTCGAACTATTCACTGACCATATATATTATAATTTATATTGGCCGTGCAATGTGTAGTCCCCTAGGCTTTCTAATTGAGCCTTGTAGCGAGTTTTCGGCCACGTGATTTACTGGCTCGACTCAAAAAGGCTTCGAACTATTCACTGACCAAATGGTTGTAGATATATATATTAGTAATAGTAGTTCAAGAGTAGCTTTCACTCATTAAAAGATGCAGCTTTTCCCTATAAAAACATCCAACCATGACAAGACTATTCAGAGAAATAAATAAGTTGGAGCCTTTTAAGTAATCATTTTGGGAATTGGTGAAGTTCTACCCCACAAAATTTAGAAATACACGAAGTATCAAATTCACATTTGTCTCAATCATATGCAGTATGCTTAATGCAGGTCCTATATGAGATGCAAAAACATATGAAGTGTCCTACCTCTAAAAGTTGCAAGTCTGGACACACAGACTGTTGCAACAGTTCATGCAACTGCATCAGATTAAACAACATAAATTCCCAGCGATTTTCGCAAGGAATCAAATTTCTGTGCATCAAGGGTTTTTGCAAAAGCATCAGTTAATTCATTCTCCGTTGCAGCATAATCAATTGAGACAACCCCCTTTTCGACCAAGCCCCTTATGAAAAGATGACAAATATCAGTAAGCTTAGTTCTCGAATGCTGAATTGGATTCATAAACTTATTTTTCACATACAAATTATCACAATTCAGATTACCAAGTTTTTTATTCCCCAAACTAGCTTTGTCACCAGAACTGTTGGAACAGTTAGTACTATCATCACATGAGTTTAAAGAAGTAATGGCAGATAAACAATTAAGATCAGACTTCTTTACCCAGATTTTTCGTTGAGTTTTATTCACTAAATCAACCTTTATCTTGGGTTTTTGAGACGACACAAAAATGTGATCAATTTTAGCGGAAAGTGGTGAGCGGGCCATTATTCTTTTAACCATTTTCAAGTACTTAAAACACCTGGGTCGTATATGACCAGGAACATGACAAAAATGACAGGTAGGAACAAAAACTTTTCTTTGAAATGGCTGTGTCGGTGCAACTGTCGCAACAGTTTGTGAAACAGTGGATTGTTTAACAAAATTGATTTTTCTTTTTGGATCTTCTTTCTGTTTCAATGCATCATTAGATAGCTGATTACGTCCTATACCTGTACGACCGCAATTCGGCTGATTTTGGTTCAAAATTTCATTCAAAGTTACCCTACCAGTATTAAACTTAGAAATAGCATCTTGGGTTTGAGCAAATTTAGCCTTCAAGCTATCTGTTTCTCTACTAGCAGAAATAACATTTTGTTCAAGAGTAGAAATTCGTACCTTCAATACTTTGTTTTCCTCAATTAGGACAAGCTTCTCTTTTTCTAAGAATTTATTTGACTCACACACCTGAAGAAATTTTTCGTACATCTTTTCATAGCATTGCTTTATTTCTTCCAAGGATGACACGTCATCATCGCTGTTGTTTTCTGAATCCCAATCATCACCTGCAAGATTTAACGGAGTTAATCCTTTATCAGATATTGAATGCAACTTATCATGCCTAGGTTCTGTCTGAACAGTCTGTCCAACTGTTGCAACAGTTTCAGCGACAGTCTGTTTGCACTTGTTTATCTGAGTAGTTCCTTCGTAGGCCTCTTGTAGAACATCCCATGCCTCCTTTGCTGATTTGCACATTGATATCAATTTGAATTGATCTTCATCGATACAACTCAAGATAGCATTGGTTGCCTTGGAATTATAATCTGCTATTCGTACTTCTTCATCAGTCCACTTCTCTTTTGGGGTTTGAATGATCTCGTGTGACTCATTCATTGAGGTAGGATGTGTCCAACCAATTAGAATCGCGCGCCAGGCCCATTCATCAATAGATTTAATGAACATCTTCATCCTTATTTTCCAATCAGAGTAGTTCAATTCACCCAAGACAGGTGGTAGGAATGCGCCTTCACGATGATTATTCATGTCTGCACAAAAAAAATAAAAAAGAATTAAATCCCAAAATCTCACTAAGTGTATCTAGTGACAGGCTCTTGATGCCAATTGTTAGAATTTATTTCGTGCAGATATAAATTATTTGTGTCAGATTCAGTTTTTCGTTACTGTTGCGTGAAGAGTTGCAACAGTTCGTGAAACAGTTTGTAAAAACAGAAATAAACGAGACACAAATTTAATGTGGTTCGGATACAACTGTACCCTACATCCACGGGGACCTGCAAATAAAATTTACTAATTTTTAGTTTTACGAATACAATAATAGGACTTAATCAAAATACAAAGACTCCCTCTTTGTTGACGCCGTTCTTGTATACTACGCTGAATTATAAATCTTCAATTTGCAGCACGTCCCTTGCTCCGCACGGTTGAACTCCCTTCAACGCTGAATCCCTCAGTCGGCGGATCGATCTCCTCCCGAGATCTGTTTAAGCCCCTCTCCCGAAGAACCGATCTTCTTTTTGTATAGAAGAAGCAAACTTGTGATACTCCTTGAATCTGTGTCTTCACCACAAGCCTTGAAGCCGGTATATTTTCTATGAAAATCACGTATCACGATGGAGCAATAAAAACGAGAGAGAAAAAAATATTTCTCTGAAATCTTCTCTCGATTAACAAGACGCTCCGTGAGCAGCAAAAATAAGAGCGGAAAAATATAATTTTTCTTCTCCAACAAAAGGCGTGCTACAGCAACCAAGAAAAGAGAGATCGGCTTCTCTCCAAAACGACGCCAATAAAAACGAGAGTAAAGAAAATATTCTGCGTAAATTTTTCTCTCTAGGAAGACGTGAGATCTGAGGCGCCGTATTGCTGTATTTATACTTCTACATGTTATAAGAATCCTACAAGGAAAAAAGAGTCCATTAGGGTTAGGAAACTCTTAATTACGTAGGAAATAATATTTTCAAAACAAGGAAACTCTTTAGAAGAATAATTCCTATTATAAATCAATTAATGACAAATTAAAAGAATTAAAAGCTACAAGGACTCTTCCCTTCTTTAGCTCAGGGTATATGAAAACTTGTGGCACAAGTTTTATTAATTCTCGTACAATTAGAATCCATAGGATTCTAACAATTTCATTTGAAGAATATTCCGGTATAGTAGAAAAATACTTCCAAACACGCATATTGTTACTATTATTACTCCGAAAGTACTATGTAGACGTCAACCATTTGTCGGGATCTTAAATAGAGAGGGCGCACTTCTGAATTTTTGTTGCAGAACCCAAGCTCCGATACTGTTAAGGTTAATTTAGATACGGCGATATATCTACTCATTGAATAGCATATTGTGTATATGGATTGTTGCTAAATCGCATATATACGAACGTTCAGCAATATATCGACCCAACTTCAAAGGAAACAGTTGTTGCATTTTATGCGGTAGAATTTGCCAAACATAATGATTAGAGGGAACTATTATTGAATTTGACTCAATATTCATTCAACAGCGGAATCGCGGAATCGTTCGAATTTTTTTCAGCACACCCTAAAATGCGAAATGCAAACCAAGTCGCACACAAAGTGGCTGGTCACTCGTTTAAGAGTTTTTCCGCCTCAACGAAATTACCTGTTACGATTTAATTATGTATCTATTCCTAAAACTTGTACACATTTACTACAAATGGTAATACTTATAATTAATAGGTGATGCAAAATCTTAAACGTTAAAGAAAGAGATCTATATATATTGTAATAATTTATATGTATATTTATGTATATTGATTTGTCTGCGCTCGAATTAATAAAGAAAGAAATCTTGATTTGTCGGCGCTCGAATAAAAAGAGCGGCGCCGACATTTCATATTGTAATTTGCCAACTTTACTCACTGTTACATTAATTCTCTGCCTTTGGAAATTTCATGAAACCACAATTCATCAATTCTTGTTTACTACTCTCTTGAAAAATGTAAATATGATGGACTTATTTATTATTATTTTATGTTGATTCTATATAATATGCTAGGGCCAGCTGAACAACCTACAAATATTATTTTGTTTTGTTTTTTAGACATGGTTTTTATTAGATCATCAAAGTCCAATATTATATAATTGAGTTTCATTAAATTATTTAATATTGGCTAATTTTATCTTAGCAATCAAACGAGGTCTAAATTTATGTATAAGACATAAAATTATAATGCAAATACACAAATAATATTCCATCTATTTCAAAATACTCTACCCGTTTCTAAATATGTCTCGTTTTTCCTTTGGCACAAGTTTTAAAAATCTCAATAAACATGTCTCGATTTTAGAAAAATAGATATTGATAGACCAAAATACATTTATTTATTAATTAATGTAAATAGAGTGTTGAAGAGTTGATAGGGGTATAATTGAAATTTTATAATTAATACGGTGTTTGAATTGTAAAATGACTATGGAACCATTTTTTTTTTCAAAAGAGACCGATGTTATGGAATAGATGAGGTAACTTTTTGTAATATTGTTATTAACAAAACTAATAAATATGTATTAATATTAGAAAACTATATGTAATAATGTACTAAATTAGTTATTCAACTAATTAAATTTTTAATAATCACTCCCTCCAACTCGTGATACTACTAATATGTCACACAAATTAAAATAATAAGGTTAAACATAAAATAATTATAAAAATTAGTATATTCTAAAATAATTAAATACTACTAATTTGGAAGATGAAACTAGTATTATTATTAAGCACTTAATCATAGAATTTAAATATTCTAATTGAAAAGTCAAAGCATTTTAAATGTAATAGTTATCTTGGGGGTGATGGAGAGAGACATAAAAAATCCAAGGAAGATTATATGCAATTTGTCTTTTTGCTACCCCTTCCATATCTAGACTATACAAAGGTATTGAAATGTGTGCTGGATTTTCTCCTATGCTTGGAACTTGTAATTAATTACCATATAATAATTAATAACATTTTTTTATTTTATTTTTATTTTTTTAATATTTGACTACTGAATGCTATTTATTACAAATCTATTCTATTTTGTAGACTAGTAGACTGTGGTTTTATGCTTTATGCTGCTTTACTAGCTGTGTTTCATTTGCATACATACCATCACTATATTATAAAATAGGGTAAATTATAAACAGCCTTGAGATATGGTCAAATTACAAAAACACCCCTCTTGTTTGGATAATTACAATCACCCCCTCAACTCCTCAAATTTAGTGGAATCTTCGAGATTATATGGAATATTATCACTTTTGTACCCGTTTTATCCCATTCAAACTATACATTATGAAGCAAGATGATCATAATATGTGATTTTTAGCTTGTATATATCAGTTTGTGGTGCATCGGAAACTGTATTTTTTACACAAAACGAGTACAAACTAGAGCACGTTTCACGGAATCTAGATGACTATGTTGAATTTGGCACCATAAAGGTGGAGGTCTAAGAAAAAATCATAGGTGAGGGGGGTAGATGTAATTATCCAAACAAGAGGGGGGTTTTTGTAATTTGACCATACCTCAGGGGGGTGTTTGTAATTTACCCTTTGTTTCACACTTCACGTGATATATGTCCGATTGGACATTTGTTCATGGTAAAATTGGCTAAAAACTCCCTTAAAAGTATTTTATTTCCAATTTGTTAAAAGTTGGACAACTTAATTGGAAAGTTTAGATTTAAATTAATCAATTTAATTGAAGAGTTTAAGACTGAAAATAGACGATTAAGACTGAAAATGACGCTTTAGTTAAAGAATTTAGAATTGAAAATAGACAGCTTAGATAAAAATAATTTTTTTTCAATAATGTTACGGCAAAAATTAGATGGTCGGCAGCGTATGACTGGTGGGAAAAAGGCGGAAATAGAAGAAGTACCAATTTTTGTTTAGGGAATGTGGTTTCGAGGACACACGAATTGGACTAAGCTCTCTAACTAAACCGATCTAGACACTTTTAGTAACATGCGGAAATACAACTATCCTAATTTGGAAGGGTATTTAGAGTCCAAAAATATTTAGAAAATTGCCCATTAATTCACATAGTCTCCTTTAATTGCCAAAATTAGATTTAATCGAAATAAATTTACACAATCATACAAGAAGAACCCATTGAATATTTAAACTAGGGGAAGTCCAATAAAAAAAAATCCCCCATAAACTAAGACAAGGTCTCAAATTTTCTTAATTGCGTGTCAGACTGAAAAATTATTACACTAATTAAACCTTAAATGAAATATAGTTATTTAGTTAATTCTAGTTTATCTAATCATTAATCAATCAAATTTGAAATAAATAGATTCTACCAATTATCCGTATGGGCCCATTTAGTGAATGCAATTTCTTGAGCTATGGGCTTAAGGCCCATCAAAAAGTAGTAATTAAATTATTTATTATTATATACACCACCCATAGAATCTAAAAAGAGCTCTCTAAATGTTACTCTTTACTACGTCTCATCCCGATTAGTTCCTTTGTACTGAGCCAAATTACGTCGCATGCTCCACTCATAGTGGTGCATCGCACAAAATCGAATCTTACTTGGTGAAGTTCGAGGTCGTTTGAACAAATTTCGAATAAATTATCGAAAACTCGTCGTCGAAGATTATAACTTTACCTTAAATTATTCTAATCGTAGAATCATTCATTCACTTTTCTCAATCCGTATGTTGTAAATTCCCGAACCAGCAGGTAAATAAGATCATGTTAAACTTGACTCTAATCCGAAATTTTAAAACGACTCAAGTCCGAGCCGAAAGATAATTTAAAAAAAAAATAGATCGAAACTCTAATGGAAAATAGTTATACATTCTTATCACATTGTTTAAAATGATCATGTAATAAACCACTTGTTATGCACAAAATATTTAAAAAAAATAAAAACACATAAATAATCAATTAAAAGAATATATAAATTAAATTCAAATTGGGATGCTAATATTTTAATGTTGGATTGATTGAAACAGCTATTAAACCTTGTCTTAGAGAAACTAAGAGCCCAACTTTTGGCCCACGAGTAATCCCTGACTGGCATGTGCCTCTAATATTACTAAAGCCCAAGAATACTCTTTATACGTGGATAATTCAATTTGTATATATAAATAATAAGAATGCTTAAATATATATTATTATCTTCAAATTAAAGATTACATAATTAATTATATATGTTTAGATTACAATGCACATAATTCAAAAATACTGTTCGAATTTTGTACACGCAGGAAAAATGAAGTATCTGAAATGTTAAATTTCGTTTCAGTTTTATTAATACCGATTTGTCCTCGAACCTGATTTTGTCATATTTCTATTTTGATTTTAGCGAAATCCGACACGAAATTTGTAGTTATTTGGGTTAATTTTATAATCAAACTTAAATAAGTTATATTAGATTTCGTGTGACAAAGTTATGCATACACGAGTCACATTTTAAAATTTAAATATCCACATCAAAGTTGATGCCAATGTTCATTGATTAATGTATATATATTTCAAACATGACATCCAATTTTAGCAATCTAAATTGAATTAGAAAGCTAACTCGAAAAACTACAGATTATACGTTTTGAATTTTGAAAATTTGAAGTAAAAAACAATAAAAATCGGCGTTTAAAGTCGAGATAGTATTATCTAAAGTTGGAACGACATTTATCAGATTCCATTAAATATTTTTTTTTATAGACAAATAAAATAGTAGAGAAAAAAAGGAAATACTCTAGTGAGAAGTGATGGACATTGCGCCAACGGTATATAATGTGAAGTGGCGCCAAACAAACCTTATCAGCTATAACTGGAGGAGACGAAGTTAGAGAGAGAGAGAGAGAAGTTCACAATCAGCATACACAGATATGTCTGTTTTTCTCTCATCATCACTCGTTTTCTCTCTCTACAAATCGAATGTGCTCGCGAAACCAAGCAAACTGTTGGTTCGAGCTTCCTCTTCAGCTGCTCCGGGAATCGATTTCACCACTCTCGAATCCGCCATAGCTAAGGTACCTTACTTCTTTTTCCCGAACAAATTCTTCAGGTTTAAAAAATATAATTCATTGGGGTAATTTGTTGTTCGATATTTGAATAATAATGCACGCTACCTGTTTGTTAAATTGTTTGCTCCAGATTTGAAGGACTTCCCCCAATTAAATCAATAATTAATATAAAAAAATCAGAGATAATGAATTAGGTTTATAATGCACATCAAATTCTCTTACGAGTAATGCTAATTTCGCTACGAATTCTGGGAATTCGTGATGTGCTTACTCCAATTGGCAATTGCTTGAATTGCTTTACATTCAGAATTTTAGTTGTTGAATATTTGAGTAATGGAGATAAGGATTTTTTTTTTTTCGGATTTGAAATGATGAAGGAAATGATCCCCGTTTACTTAAAAGACTAAATGGAGTCGAAACGACGTAGATTTCAAACAATTTAGCTGCTAACATTTGATGCCTAAAAAGGATTTGAAGAAATAAGATGTATGTATACTCATACCATTACTTACGACTCTGTGTGTGTATCTGTATGGTTCAATGCAGAAAGATAGTGATGCTGTGAAAGAGGCACTGGATCAGTTGACCGAAGTTGGTTGGGCGAAAAAATGGAGTTCTCAACCGTATGTCTCACGTCGCACGGTGAGCCCTCTGAAATTTCATTTCTCGTTTTCAAAATTTAAGAACTTATTTAAATGAATACTTGGTCAGCATAGTCTTACTTAGTGTTAATATTGAATGTGGTGGATAATATTTTTTACCGAGTGTTTCTCTTTCAGACATCTCTTCGGGAGCTGACGTCTCTTGGAATAAAGAACGCAGAGAATCTTGCTATTCCTAGTGTCAGAAATGATGTAAGTTCTATGAACAAGATTTTGTATCGTTCTCTTCGGTAAGTCTAACAAATGTTCTTATTGGAGAATTTGTTCAGTAATTTGAGTTAGAGCATGTATGCAATTGAATCTAAGATTTATGCTCCTATTATTCGCATTTATTGCGATTTATTTTCCAGTACTTTTGAATGATTTTTTTTTTATGCGTTTATTGAGTTGATTTTGTTCAGTGATGCAGGCAGCTTTCCTCTTTACTGTAGTCGGCACAACTGGATTTTTGGGTGTTATTGCCGGTCAACTTCCCGGGGTAATCTTCCACTACCTACTTTTAGATTCCAAATTTGAAAAAATAAAATGTACGATAAAATGAATTTTGAACTTATACCAATTTCTGGTTTTGCAGGATTGGGGATTTTTCGTGCCGTACTTGATCGGGAGTATCTCTTTGGTAGTTCTTGCCGTAGGGAGTATTTCCCCGGGGTAAGTAGTTTCAAAATGCATCTATAAATAAAAAACAAACACGTACTCGTGTAAAAACTAATATTTTGCAAAGCATTTTGCAAGTTACGCCTTTTTTTTTTTTTTTAATTTTTCGACATGATGCAGGCTGCTTCAGGCTGCTATCGGTGGATTTTCGTTATTCTTTCCTGATTACCAGGACAGGATTGCTAGACACGAAGCAGCTCATTTCTTAGGTATATATCAATTCCACAATTGGGATCTCGTAAGATTGCATAATCTTATCTCGGGAACCAAACGAGGCCTAAAATTCATGGTTTAATGGGATAATTTTGATATTGTAGTTGCTTACTTGCTCGGCTTACCTATCCTCGGGTATTCGTTGGATATTGGAAAAGAGAATGTGAATCTCATTGATAAAAGACTCGAAAAGCTTATTTACAGTGGGCAGCTTGATGCCAAGGAACTAGACCGGTACATTATATCAATCTCGAAGCCTTTTGATTTTAATTTTATTATTAATATTTTTTGGATAAATTACAACCACCCCCTCAACTATTCCACCCTTGCGGTTTCAAATTTAGTGGAATCTTCTAGATTATATGGAATATTCTCAAATTTGGACCCGTTTTATCCCATTCGAGCTCCAAATTTTGAAGCTAGATGATCATAAGATGTATTTTTTGGCTTGTATATATCAGATTGTGGTGAATCAGAAACTTTATTTTTGCACAAAATGAGTACAAACTAGAGAACATTCCACGGAATCTAGAAAATTATGTTGAATTTGACACCATAAGGATGGAGATGTAAGAAGATTCATAGTTGAGGGTAGATGTAATTATCCAATCAAGAGGGGTTTTTTTGTAATTTGACCATACCTCAAGGGTTGTAATTTACCCATATTTTTTTTTAATCTCACAGAATTAGTTGCCATATCGATGTTTAATTTCCTTCCAACTAGGTAACATGATAGTTTTATGCTTCTCAGGCTGGCAGTTGTAGCAATGGCTGGACTGGCGGCAGAAGGTCTCCAATATGATAAAGTTATCGGCCAATCAGCCGATCTTTTCTCTCTTCAGGTTTGTTCATCTCACCAAGAAAACATGGCCGAAAAAAATAGAAAACAAAAAAGAATGCTGGAAAAATCTAATTTGTCGTGTTTGATCATTTTCAGAGATTTATTAACAGGAGTAAGCCACCGATCGGTAAAGACCAGCAGCAAAACCTCACCAGATGGGCGGTAAGTTCTTGAACTACGTGGTTACGTTGATGATTAAACATTCTAGTTTATGGAAAAAGTTACGCTAAATGGCATTGTCCTCCCCTTGCACTACATGTCGATTTGAATTTTTCCCTAAAAAAATATTTTTTATCGAAAAAAATACAAAATCGGCGTATAGTTCAGGAGAGAAAATGCTATGGATTCAAAAGACCATTCTTTAAATTTTGCGAATGCACTAAGTGCATATATGAAAATTCAGGGGTGTTAATTAAGTCGAGTCGAGTCGAACATGTAACTCAAGTTTGTTTGAATTTTCATCGAGCTTTCAAAGTTGTGTTTGATTAAGCAATCTAGTGGTCGAACTCAAACGAACGTTAATCGAGCCGAAACGAAACGAATCGAGTCGAGCTTCATAGCTTATCGAATGAAAATGTGTGTTCAAGTTTGGTTCGTTACGTTAACTAACCAGGCTCTCAAGAGCTTTTAACAAATGATCTCGAATCGAGCAGCTTGATTTGATTTTCAACCCTATTTATATACATGTTGCAGGTGCTATTTGCTGCATCACTAATAAAGAATAATCGGGCTGTCCACGAGGCCCTCATTTCAGCCATGTCAAACAAGGCAACAGTGATTCAATGCATAGAAGCAATTGAGAAGGCCGAATCTGTATAGCAACTTTGATTTTTTTTTTTTCCGGGTGAAAAAATTGTCATGAAACATAAACGAAAAGACTATTTGAAGTATTCTTTTATAAACAGTGTGGTTCGAACTTTCGAATTTCTGCTGCAATTGTATCTATATATCATTTCTCAACCACAGTCTTTTCGACTTCACTAATCTTTTGATTGTGGTAAGTCTCTCGTTCTTGTATCACACGAACGTAACGAAAAGAAATAATTTCAGGCTCGATAAAAAAATAAAAATATATTACAGTATAATTCAGCACTCTTTAATATAATTATCTTGACCGAATACAACTCTGGTTTAAAAAAGAAAAACCAGTAATATATCGACTAGGGCATCGATTATTTTTTCAGACAACTTCGATTATCTAACAACCTATCTATTTACAAGCAATAATATATCCATAAAAGTATTCGAACTTCCTATAATTGCAAGATGATCTCAGAGATCATCAAAAACCGTATATTTTCCACCGATAGTTATTAAAAAAAAAAGTTTAGATTTCGTCCGACAAATCACTGATATCAGTATCGTAGAATATTCCGTCGACGATTTGATCAATGAGGGAATCAATAAATGTGTTGCATCCAACAGTAAAGATTCTTCCGACTCTGGTACGGTTGCTTGAAAACCAAGCGAAAACGGCAGCGCTAGTTACAGCTGCCATGCAAACACCTATAGCTTCCTCTATTCCTTGAATATCCGTTTTTCGGAATACTGAATTTCCGGTCACGATTTCCATGCCTAGTGTTGCTGCAAATATGATCTTACAAACATTGAATAATTAATTAGTCATTGTTGCTCATATAACTTTATATTGCAAATTAGTAAGCAAGTATGATCAACTATCGAAAAAAAATTGTGATTAGATGTTGAGCATCCCAACTTTAATGTGTTGACTAATTCCAGTTTCTTTCCAAAAAAATCAGGGGAAATCGGAAATTGGAATGAAAAACTTGTTCCGAAATCAATATTGTTTTTCGATTGGCCTCGGTCGAATTTAAAACTTTCGTTTTTTTCCCACCTAGAATGGAAAATGCATAATAATAAATCTTGATATTATTAATGTGTATATTTGGGGGGAAATATAGAAATTTCAGGAATTATTTTCAAAAAAATAAAATCAGATTGTAATGATATATATATACATATATATATATATATATATATATATATATATATATATATATATATATATATATATATATATATACACATATATATATATATATATATTTATCCCAATCCAAAATGTTTCAGAAAAATTAGTGATTGAAATTTTCAGAATTCGGAATAAAAAATATTGTTTCACAATCAAAAATTTCGAATCGGATCCAATTTCCACACCTACTTATATAAGAGTTCAAAGATCAATACAATATATATTGCGGCAATATCGATGCTACACCCGGTGATTTTAACCAGGCACCCTAATTGATAAGATTCCCACTACGGGTTCATTTATGGCCCATTGGATTTTAGAAAAATAATTATAAAATAAATTAAAAAGGACACATGTCAATAAGAGAGTTACCCGGTGAAAATCACCGGGTGTAGCATCGTATTCCCCAATATATTGCTAGGTTTATTTCTAAATTAAACAAAAAAAAAATTTAATTGGCTAATACTTGATTGAATAAGCTTAGAATCCGTCAAAAATAACTTATAAGATATTTCAGAGCTAATATAAGTTAAGCTCTCCCAAAATGTTTGCTATAAAAATCAAAAAAATCTTAAAAAAAAAAAAAAAAAAAAAAAAAAACAAACTTGGAGAGCTTAAAATAAGCTTACACATACCTCGTATTTTTATTTAAGATCTGAAAAACGGTCACTTTCTAAAAATAAGAAGCAACAACTTATCAGCTCTTAAATCAATTTATCGATCAGATGTGATATAAAAATGTAATATAAAAGGAAAAAAAAAAAAATAAGAAAAAATAGAAAAATACCATGGCAAGACGACCGGAGATGATCTCAAAATCGCGACTCCGATTATAGGTCTCGACATAATCCGAAAGAATCTCGAAGAAACGCGACACTTCATTTTCCCTACCGGACTTTAACACCACCTGTACCACCCGCTCGCCGCCGTACGATCTAAGTGTGGACAGCCTTGGCTGCAGCACGATCTTCCCGTTCCCATACTCCGGCGCCGCCGCCGACTTCAGCTTCTGAAACTCCGGCACCGCCGGTTTCTCCGCCCTGGGCTGACGACACAAGATCGGCCGCAGATGAGCAGCCGCCGTATTGGCCATGAGAGAGAGAGAGAGATCTAGAGAGAGAGAATATTATATATATATATTGTTGAGGAAGAAGATTCAGGTGTACGTACGTATGATTTGTACTGTGTGTGTGTCTGTATGTATATCAGTATATGTATGTGTTTGTTAATTTGTGGGGAATGTATGTATGTATTTTTGTGGGTTGGTTTAAGTTTGTGGTGGTGGGTGGAGAGTCCACGTCGACGGAAAGTTTGCATGCACGGTGATTGGTGGTGGCGGTTGCACTGAGCTACGTGGAGCTTTTGTTGTTCGTTAACGTTGCTTTCATTATTATGTTTCATTCACCCTTTTCTTTCTTTCTTACTTAGGGAGTTTTAATTCATTCAATTTGTCTGCTAGCTGGTTTTTTTGTCCATGCATTACAACTAGTCTTAGGTTTATAAAGGGATGATTTTTTTTTTTTTTTTTTTTTTAATAATCTCAAATATTTTGGTGTGATCGGCTCACTCACTCACTCGAGTCGGGTTTAAATGGAGAAGTTTGTGGATTTTCATCTTGACCGCCCATCTTGAGTAGTCAATCTTGTCCGTCAATCTCATCCCTCGAATTGGGTATGCCTTCTTCATTTGTTCTAAATCTAGTTGACTTTCGTCATTTTGTACTTTTTCACTCTTTGTACCTCTGTCATTCCTCCTCTCTACGTCTTATCCCGATGACTTCTGTGTCAAACGCCACCTACTATGGTTGACCTTGACTCTCTGAACTGGATTTTCGATCGATGATCTAGGTGAACTTGGGTGAATCAATGAGTTATTCTAATTAAGTTGAGTAAGGTGATTTGAGTCTCAAGCCTCAAGTTGAATCTTTATAATCTTATTAATAAAAGTAAATTGCTCCTATAATAAACCCTAGGAAATTGTTCCCACTTATTTGATAGTTATAAGATTGTTATTTATTTTATTGTTTTATTTATTTAATATAATAAAGTTAATAAATCCGTTAAGTATCCAGACTTTTCTTGTCTCAAATCTACCTGTGTTTTCCACTAGAATTGTCATTTTACTTAATATTAATTTTATGAGAAAATTATTTAATTGTTTAGAAAAACATTTGGTTCTTATTTTTTTTAATAAAAGTAAGATTGCTCCTGATAAATTTTGAGATTTAATGGTATCATTGATTTTTAGTAAATCTGTTAAAGTCTGTTATGGTGATAACGAAAAAGATTCGTAAAACTTCTAACTTAACTGAAATAATATAAATATACAACCATATAACATCAAAAACATAAAATTAAATTATTAAATATGGCTTATGGATGGGGGATTGTCATCAATACATATTGCAAAACATCAAAATGAATTGAAATTTCAATTTTATTATTTAAATTAAATTTTATTTTTATTAATTTTACTTCAATCTCATGCATCGAACGGTTAAAAATCTAGTAGATATAAATAAGAGGTTTGGGTGTTGTAAGAACCCATGCAATATCCAAACCATAACCCAACATATAAGATAAAATACAATTTAAAATGAAAAAAAATACTGCAGTAGAAATTTTGCTACTCATCTCAGATCCAGAAATTAACTTACAAATGGAAAAATCATTCCACAAAAATATAAAAAATACACAAAAAATAAAATTTTCTGAAAATAACTAAAATTCTAACTCCTCTTCAATCATCTATGTCTTCATCACACATCTCAACTCACCTCAATGCACAATTTAATCTTCTTTTCAGATGCTCACCAAATTGTATCGCTAGGTAGCAACAATTCGATACATATCCGAAAAACACGACTTTTTTTTTCCCCCGATCTTTCTCTATTTCAAATTTCGCATTTCACTATTCGAATTTACGACTCGATATTTCCCGCAACATTTCCCGAACGAAACTTACACGACGGACGGACATAAATCGTAAAATTCAAATAGTGGAATAGAAAAAAAAAATATAGAATTAGGAAATCTTTGTTGAAGGCAATTAAAATTAATTAAGTGAATTTCCCATTATACCCTTACAAAGAAAATACTCAATTCAGGTCCATTGTTGCCATCAGGGCTCAACATGTAGAACGTCTCGGAATCCTTGGATCCCACCACCCTATCGAAATGGGCCCGCATGTACGCCACCTCTCCGTCGGGGCCCTCCACCTCCGACCGCCCGGGAAGAACTCCGGCGCCCATCGACACCGCCTTCAGCACCTCCATCACGTGGAGGTCCTCCTCGCTCGCCGCCCTCTTCACGCCGTACCCGATCTTCTTCCCGTTGCAGAACATCGTCCACAGCGGCTCCTCCAGCAGCTCCACCGGCGGGGCCCGCTTGTCGCACTCGAGGGCGATCCTCACCATCCCCTGAGTCATCTCCTTCTGGAGGACGTGCGTCTGCATGGCCAGCTCCACCACCGCCGTCGGCAGCGTGCGGGAGTTCTCCTGGATGGAGAGGCTGACGCGGCCCTTCCGGTAGCCGAAGAGGGTTCCGGTGACGCGGGAGCCGCCGCTGGCGGCGACGGCCTTGCTGTCCGGGAGGCGGCCGCCGGGGAGGGAGGGGAGCTTGCAGGCCGGGGTTATGATGGGGAACGATCGGAAGACGTTGCGGAAGACGCGGAAGACTTTTGTGGGCTTGTTTTTCTTCTTGGTGGAGGGCTGCACGAGGGTTAGGGGCGCCTGCGGCGGCGGCGGAGGAGGAGGGGAAGTGGGCGGCGGCGCTGTATCTCCCATCACCGGATTAGCAACGGGAGGAGGACGCCGACCATGAGATGAACAGTAATGCGGGTTTTGTGTGAGAGAGAGAGAGCTAGAGAGAGGAGAGAGAAACAGGCTATGATGTATTGATGACTATAACGGGAAGAAAAATGAGGTGGTGGTGGTTGGCGGTTTGGGTGGCTGAGGTATGGCGGAAAATGTGGTGGTGTTTCTCCGTTCAAGATTTTTATTTATTTATTATTTATCTAATAATAATTAAATTTGTTATATTGGAATTAGACTTCCAAGATATTTGGAACTTACTGGAAAGTGCAACTATACCCCTTGTTTAAGACCAAAATAATTATTAAAAAAAAATAAAAGAAAAAGAAAAAAACCCTTCCCCTCCACCAAACCTGACAGCCGACAGAAGCACCACTGAATAACCAAATGTAACATCTAATTTCCATTTTTATCCCACTCAACTCATCTTTTCCTCCACTCTTTCCGTGCAAATTCCTCCTCAATATAGGAATAATATTTTTTCCAATTATATTCAATCTTTTCGAAAAGTTACTACTACAATCCCCCCAAGTCTTCATCGCAACGAGATAAGACCGTCTATTCCTCTTGGATTCCAACCCTTAGCCACTAAGCTCGGATCGAATAATCGTAAACAACTTGATTTGGTCGAATAGGGTCCTCTCCAGCGAAAATCATTGTCCTGCGAGTCATTGACGACCAAATCTCAACGACCGGCAAGACGATGATTCTCGCCGGAGACGTCGCTCTGGTGGCCGGAGCTTGCAGCACTTTTGCTGTAAAGTTCGACTTTCTATTTTAAGTGTAAGAGACAAGATCACTTTAGCGTGTGGCATATTGTTCATATCTCTTCACACATTTCATTCTTCTCGGGTTTGCCATATTTCTCCACCGCCGCCGTCAAATAGGTGGAGGAATGCTACCCTGCCAACCCAACCCGACAGCATAATTATTAAGGTTTGCTGGATTTTCAATCTCTTGCCTCTTTGTTTGATTTGATAATCCTAAATAAACGGCAATTCATTCTGTTTTTCTTCTTTTCTTATTAGATGATGTCTTCCCTCCGCGTTGAAATGATTCATTTCGAAGTTAATTAGGGGTGAGAAATAGAACAGATTTCCTGAATTCCGTCTATTCAAATTAAGAAAAAATCGATTTTTGGATATATTCCATTCCAATTTCCGACTCTTTACGAAGATCATTTGGACTGCGATCAAGAGTATGTATAAAATTACTGGATTTTTTTAGTAATGGAAACTAGGTAATTCAAACTAAGCCTACAAGCAACAACATCATCCATACAATTTGACAGCTGGCACAGAAAAAGAAAAATATCGGAAAAAAATTAGATCAAATGTTAAAACATTTATCTTAGAGCATTACTAACTTGAACCTGAATTATGACGCCTTTGCACGAGAAATGAAGTAGTTGAGGAGAATTTTCGAATAACGGGTTAGAGTGAAAAACATTTGCAGTACCGCTCGACCTTTAACAATCCCCTCCCTCATGCTTCGTGCGCTTCTAGCTAGAACCGGATCGGCTGTTTGGGTTTTTCGTGGGCCCATCTCCTGCACGGATACTATTTTCAAGTAAAGATTAAGGGAAAACTCGTCGGTCCGAAAAATCATGTAGAGAATATAAATATAATACAATAGAACGAGTAAAAAGCTATTTTTTAAATTTTTTTTAAATTAACCTATTGGATTCATATTCGTCAACCGCCTCAATCTTTCTTCTGCTAATCGAACGGCCCGAGTTGAACTCCTGACTCCTTGTGTTATTTCTTGGCTGTAAAAATGGCAGGAAATGAGTCTTTATTTCATTAGCCATTTAAAGAATTCGAGTTAGAAGAAGCTTTAATTTGTTTTTCTTAGAAAGAGTTTATTGCATTTAGTACCCTGTGTTATATCGAATTGCACAAAACTCCCCATGTTTTTTATATTAGCAAAAAACCCCTTATAATGCATTTTGTTAGCACACAACCCCCTAAACAGTGAGTTGCTAAAACAATACGAAGCATAGGGGGTTTTCGTTATTAAAATCGGGGTTGGGGGGGGGGGTGTGAGGTGATGGATTTCGCTATTAAAATAACACAAGGAGTTTTTTTAGCAATTAGATAAAACATAGGGTGCTGAATGCAATAAAACCATTAAATAATACTAACCCAATGTCACTGAGCTCCATTGTCAAGTCACTGATCTCCATACCGGACAATCGAACGGCAGCCATTGTGCCAGGTAGCTCCTCCCTTGTCGCATCCATTAGCTTCTCCAGTGACTCAGCAGCTCTCTTGAAGGCCTTCAATGAACAAATATACAGTTATTCAGTTATCGTTTGTGCTTCACTGGTTGTACTATTAATCCATTAATAATATTTTTTTCTTAATTCATGTCATTTGCAAATAATAATTGCATTTTTCAACCATTCCCTGAAATTAAGATTTTTTGATGGGGTTTATTGCATTCAGACCCCCTCCCCTATGTTCATTCTAATTGTAAAAGAACTTCGCGTGTTATTTTTATTAGCAAAAACCGCTCAATGTTTTAATTTCTTTAACAAACTCACCATTCACCATTTAGGGGGTTCTGTGCTAAAAAAATGCATCATACGGAGGTTTTTGCTAATATTTATAATAACATGAGGAGTTTTTTAGCAATTCAATATAACACGAGGGTAACGAATGCAATAAACTCAACATTGATAATAGATCTAAATTTCGACCAATTTCAATTGGTTCTGTCAATTGCAGCTAGCACGTTTGTGTTCGTTGAACTTAGAGTAACTTCGTGAAAAAGAATCCAGAGAATATCAGGGGTAAAAAGGTCACGAACCAGGAGAGTTGGAATTGCCGAGCAAAAGAGCCATGTTGCAGAAATTGCTGCCTGTAAACGGCCACTAAATTTAGTACCACACGTGAAAATCTTAATATTTTACAAATCATCCATTTTGTAAGCTCGTAATCTCATAAATGACGAAACATAAAGAAACTTAGCCTTGAAATATTATATTTGCATCGACAAGACGAGGACAGATTGGTCTAAGTAAAGAATACGAAATCATTTCCTTGCGTGAATATCGGAAAGAGAAAAACAACTGTTTGTGAGTTCAAATGTATTCTTAAAGCTAATATAGAATTGCCTACTTCATATTTCCCAAGTATGTATAGCTACATGGCGATATATAAACAATTGTCATCATCTTAAAAGTTTCGATTATTGCCTTTCTTTACGGTAATAATGTTTTTGCCTACAGACGAAAAAAAAAACAAAGGAGTGAAATCGACTTTCATTTCGTCTCCTTTCTACTTTCTCCTTAGTACATCAAGAACTCCAGTGTCCTAGTTGTTTAGAGCAACGTCGTGTTTCCGAAATTTGAATGTGGAACCTAATTCAGTACGATGTTCGGACCAATTAATGACAGACGTAAGTATCGATGTTTTATTAGAACAACTCAACAAATGCAGCAAACAATCCCCAATTCAAATGCAAATGAAGCATAATCACAGTGCCGTTCAACCTAATATATAAACAACAGCCTATGCAAAATCTGAATTCAACCTAATCAATTGAAGGTAGAAATTATTCAAATTAAACACAATTGACGCACACAAACACATAAATACATACATATCATATGTATGTAGAGAGAGAGAGAGAGAGAGAGAGAGAGAGAGAGAGAGAGAGAGAGAGAGAGAGAGAGATGTGTACGGCGCATGAGAAGAAAGTGAGCAATTGAATGTGGCGATGAGTGGGGGCCCACTGAAGGGGGTTATAGGAGTATCCGACGGTGGAGGTGAGCTGAGGGGAAACCGACGGCTCCGATGGCGCATTCTCGAACGATCGAACGGTTAAGGAAGCTGACTGGCGGCGCGTGGGTAGCCGGAGACTCAGCCGGCGGCGAGAAGAAACCAGAGCCCCGTTTCCTCGATAATTGAAATTGAACCCAACAGGATTCGAAACCTGCAACCTAAACGCATTCAACATCTCCGCACAAACTAGTGTATATATATGTGTGTATAGATTGTATGTATATCCATCTTCGGCGATGGTGTGAGGTGTTAGTCCTCGCAATCTCCGAACACTGTCAGTTGTTACAAAGGGATGCTGCTTTTTCAAACAGGTGTCGCATTTTGAAATAATCAATTTATTAAATTTTCTCAGGAAAAAAAAAAAAGAACAAAACAAATATTATTCTTAAATAAATGGCATATTACGGCCGCCCTGAGTTATAGTCAAATTACGAAAATACCCTTCTAGTTTGGGTAATTACAGGCATTCTTCAACTATGTGAAAATACTCCTTTATAGGTAAATTTAGGGATGTTAAATCTGTAAAATTGAACCGAAATTTCGGTACGCCAACATTTTATACTGATTACCGAACTGAATATACGATTTGGTTCAGTAAATAACTGAATTACATAAATTTTATGTAAAAATATTTAAAATGAAGGGGTGGCTGTAATTACTCAAACAAGAGGGATTTTTTTGTAATTTGGTCATACCTCAGGAGTGGCCGTAATTTGCCCTTAAATACAATGTAAATTTAAACAATTACAATATCATTTCTAAAAAAGTTTGATTTTTGAATTTAATTATTATTATTATTATTTTAAATTTTTTTGATATATTTTATAATAATAAATAGTAAGCATAATTAATTCTAAGCATTAGTATTTATTTTGAACTTTTATAAGGGCTATTTGACAAAAATCTCCAAAAACAAAGATTTCTATTGTGATAAATTCAATTTTTTATTCGATGTTTATTATAAACTCATTTCGAGTCAAATTACCTAAAATGCCCAAATTTAAATGAATATTAGCAAAACAGTGCAAACACTGAAACAATAACAAACATGTTCGTATGCAATTAAATCGGTGGTTATCAAATAAAATGAAAATATGCTACTTACAATCGCAATTTTACTAAAATACGGACACAATTTGTGAAAACCACTATGCAGAATCTCAACGCCGCCTCGCTGCTCGGAACTCAATATCATGGAACCGTTTTTCAAATTCAATGTTCCACCTCCACGAAACGGTACATCTAAAATTAAGGTGCGAGATATGTGAACTGAGATCGTTCGTAACGTGACTACGTGAAAATTAATTACGAAAAAAGATATTACGTAGTATAATATATCTCCAACCGATATGTTAAATCGACGTAAGAGAGACTTGAAAATATTTGCCTTCCCATTATTCCATATACAAATGTACAAAACAATGCCCTCTCCAACTTTGGCTACAAAATTCTCACAACCCCAAAGGATCTTCATAACTTTATTTCACATTTACACACAACCATATATATATATATATATATATATATATATTAGCATAAATTACATACCATATTGCACCACCTATCAAATAAGAGCCCTAAACAACAACCTGCTGCTTCTCCCTTCTTCCATTTAGTTTACTCTTTGATGTATATTCCCAGAATTTCAACTTCTAATCTAACTCTAAATAAACCAAAAAGAAGAAGATTTCTCACTTAGCAAAAGAAGCATCTTTGGCATCTTCCCTAACAACTTCGACAACCGTCGTGTTGCAAAAGAAGCATCTTTGGCAGTTAAGAAGATGCCTCGATATGCAACTATAGCATGAAACATGCGAACAGGGTGTAAAACGAGCGTCCACTCTATTAGCATAGCATATGCAGCACACACCATCTTCGCTTTCCGATTCTACCCCTCGCATCCTCTTCTCAATCGCATGCAGCTCCGTTTGATGAATCAAGAGGCTCGAGAATTTCTCTAGCTTCGTCAATTGATCGATAAAATAATCGTCCCCTTTTGTGGAGCCCACCTGGAAAAAAAATATATTGCAATCTTTTTTTATCAAGAATCAACGACATATTTCCCAGAAAAATGTAGAGACTAGGATGGAAACCGTCAAACAAGACAAATCGAATTAAAATTAGCACTTTCGGAAAATTCAATTTTTTTTCTCAAGTAAAAAAACTAATTCCAATTCCATTTTCAGAAATTGGAATGGAAAAACTTGTTCCAAAGTCAGAAATATCCGTAATGGAACCGGTGGAATTTGGGAAATTCCAATTTTTAGTAACCTAACATATAATTTTGACACTATAAGTGTAATTTCGGGGAAAAAATCGGAATTTTAGGAAATTTAAATCGGAATCTAATATATATTCCAATTCGAATCCTAAAAATTCAGGAAAAATCGCAATGAGAAATAGTGTTCCGATTTCCACCCCTAGTAGAGAGATTATTGAAAGAAAGAAAAAAAGTTGAAAAACGAACCCAATTGTACTCGAGGAGATATTGAAACCCGAAGAGAATTGTGTCGGCGCAATCCATGCTAGCAAAGATTGCAACAATATCATTATGATTATCCCCTTCGACTGTCTCTCTACTACCATCCAACAAATTCATAATGATGCCAGCGAGTGGTGCTAAAAGCATACCGCTGTTGACCTTTTCAGTTGACTGACCTGGTCTTCTAAGAGATCTACACAAAATTTTGATAGTAAAAAGAAAAAATAAATATTCGACTAAAGTAAAAAAAAAATTAACAAAGTGATGCATTACTTACAGGTCTAAAAGTTCTGGATCGATTGAACTAATTAAGTGGGTCAATATGAAGACAATCAATTCAGCCAGCCTTCGTAAATTTGTATCCATTCCCGATACAAAAGCTCGAGGTATCTCCCGTGTACAAAATTCCAATACCCTTGCAAGGTTGCAAGAGAGGTCGAATATTACATTGCATTTCCTTTGCTGGAAGTCCATCGGCTTTAAATCATACCTCAAATCAATATCAATTTATCCAGAAAAAAGAAAAAAAAGAAGACAAAGAAAAGGGCGTATGAGAAAATATACCTTGTAAGTTTCTTGCATTTCGCGAATAGAAACGGAAAATTCAGTCATGGCCCAACTTAGAGTATTGAATAAGCGATTGAGGAAAGCTGAGAATAATTCGTCATCCCTCAGCAGTTTCTTAAGAGTTAAAAAAAAAAAAAAAAAAAAAAACATAATTATTATATGATTGAGCAAAATGCGAGGAGCATCAGATTTGTGTAACAAAAAGATTCTAAGTTACCTGAAATAGTACAGATGAGGAAGATGACTCTCCACGCCTTGAAAAGCCGAAACCAGAACCTTTGCATAATCGAAGAAGTATATTGGTAACGGGAATCCAGGATCTATTATCAAATGTAGACAATAAAGCGCGTGGCATCTTTTGTTTTGCTGCTTCGTTGCATTCAAAAGCAGACAAAAATTCCTTGTCTTGTACTAAAACGGATATAGATTGGAGAAGAAGATCCCTTAGCTCAGCACTAGATATTCTTGGATCGTTGAAGTGTGTAACCACAAAAGTAACCTGATCAAAAGAGAGACGCTATTTTTAGAGACAATTCAACACCTTCACGTATAGAAAGTGTGGACATTTTTTTTCTAGAGAATGCTGTAAATAGATTCCAAATGCTAGTCTGGCTAATGCAACATATTTATTCCGATTATCGAAAGAAATTTTATCCTACATATAAATTGAATTCATCCTCCATTACTAAAAAAGAACACAATAAAACAACATATATAGACGAAAAGAAAAGTTCACGACATACGAAAGATGTAAGTCCTTCCTTGATGAACTTTGTGGCAGGGACAAATGGGGGATCGCTCTTACGCAAAACATGAAAACAATCGACCTGCCAGAAACAAAGAAATAATATCAGCAAAACACTACATAAAGTGATATGCTAAAGTTTGTTTATATGAAAGAAGCCCGATTCTTCTAATTACCTAATAACCTAAATCTGGCAGGTTTATCAAAGATCTTTATGGCATTTATTCATTATAGAAGCCATAGGCACCGTAAATAATGATAGAGAAAAATATTCAGGAATTTAGAAATTAGAAAGAAGGTTACAATACCACAGTTTCTAGATAATATTCAGGAATGTAACTAAAGATTGACTCCTCTTTGCTAAGAACTAGGAGCAATTGCACAATCCACATGCAAGCTGCATAAATCCCCCTCTGCTTCCAACGAGAGAAAAGAGAAAGACGATACCTGTTAAATTGAATCATTTTTTTCACAATAAGTTCATCGCAAGTATGCAATGTACTGGACAAAAATCAATTGGATAAACAGCATAGAAATATTTGTCAACAAATGTTTACACAACGACGTCTTAATGGGGAATCAAAACCGTCTTGAACACTCAGATGTCAATTAATAAGAACAAGGTATGCATACAATCAATAAATAGAGTTTCTAGCCAATCAACAAAAAAAGTTTCTGTTTGTTATAATAAAGAATGCAAAATTGGCTGTGAACGGAAGGGTACCAGGCAGTATGTCTGACACAATCCATAGCTTCTTCCCTATAAACACTGCGAGCTTCCTTCAAGCGCTTCACTTGGTCCCCATAAATACTCTCTCTGAATTGTCTGTCCGTCTCTTCCAAGAATGAGATAGATTGCGATTGACGAGACATAAAAGATGATGCCTAACATACAAAAATATTCCGTTAAATAACACTTATTATGTTTTTTCCCCAAATATAGAATCATTATGCAAAGAAAACGAGAACACTCCATGTCATCATAGTAAAACATGTTTTGAAACGGAAATGTATAAAAAAAATTCCAAAATATAAATTAAAAAGGAAGAAGTCGAAAAATGGCCAAATAGGGGAAGGGAAGTAAATGCAGCAAAACTCAATGGCATTTTTCACTGAAAAGCTGTTGACAGCATATTCAATCAACAACCATGTATCAGCATAGATCCAGTGGACCTTTCTATACACCTAAAGCTACAAATAGAACAAAAAATCAAGAAAATAGAATTCGCGGACCTGCTTAAAGTTTGGCGCAAGACCCAAATGATACAGCAAAAGCATAGCATCTAAAAGCTCCTCCTCATTCAATGTAGCTGACGACAATGTATTCTCCCTCTGCAATATCCTGAAATGCTGCCTGGGTCGAAACGCAAACTCCGAATCAGAGTGGTCACTAGTGCTGGGCTTATCAGCTATCTCATCATTTAAATTGCCCGTACTACACTCCGCTGTAACATGAGAAGACCTATCCGAGATAGAGCTACAACTTCCATGAGAACCTTTCCCCAAACGTCTCACGGGATATTTCGAACTGCTCGATAGATCAGCATCGTAACTAGAGCAGCAACACGGTTTCATCCGACTAAAATGGGTCACTCTTGATTCTTCATCATCCATGCAACCTTCTTCCCACCGAATAATCTCTTCTTCCTTTTCACAGTTTATTATAGGATTGAATTTTGATAAATGACTATAAGATCCTCCAAGTCTTGATATATCAATTCGATGAGGATCGTTCTTCAGAAAAAGACCAGCTGGAAAACTTTGCTGACCACCTCTGTGAAGGAAGCCCACATGAGCACCAGAATCAGTACCAGAGCCTTTAATCCAGCCATATATGTCACCTGCAGCAAAACCTTCGGACAGAAAATGGAGAATAACGGTAAACAATGACACAAGGACTGAATTGTTTGAAACTCCAGGTGGTGGCATATTACGGTCTGCACCCCTGTTCTTCAGTAATGTGTTCTGTAAAAATGTCCTAAAAACTGAGCCAGGCAACTGTGGGGGTTCTACAGGTGGTATGAATTGCATAACTAAGCGACAGAGATCCCTCTGCTTCTCTTCTATCTGGAAGTGATACAATGCAAATAATAATTAGAGGAATTATAATAGTTTGTTGGAATGAACATTGTAAGAATTAATGGGGAACCTATAGTAATTATAATGAGCATACTACTTTTGAAGAGTCAAAGTGGAACAGAGCATGGAAACAACAGCATAAAAAGTCAGTGAGCGAGAAATTCAGAACCCATGCTACCTTTGGTGACAGGACAAAAAACTAACAAATATGTATTACCCAAGTCATTTTAAAAAATTAAACCATAATTGATTTCTAAATCAACAAACTTTTAAGCTTCGATCTGTCCTTATAAACGAAACTTGGTTATTAATAGTACAACTATCTGATGAAGTTATCTACTGAGTTAAATTGACTTGTCAAGACACAGAAACTAGTCAATACGCTAAACAATACCTTATTTACTGCTTCAGATAAAGCTGTAGTAGTCATCACCATGCTATTCTCGTTAGAAATGTCCTCACATGAGCCAGGCCACCAGACAGAAGGAATCAGACATTGGAGATCCTGTTTGTTTTGGCTTTTCCTTGAAAGCAACCCCTCAAACAAGAATTCAAAATCCGAAGACTTCCACCAAAGGGTCATCAATTCTTCTCGTCTTAAAATATGGCAAGCCAAAGCAAGATGACTGTACGACCCCGAATAAGGACAGTCTGTAAGAACCAATAGTCCTGTTTTACATCCTGATGACAGCGCCTCAAATACGTGCTTCAACAATAGTTTCGACTCCTCAAATTGGAGAAGGGAATCAAGTACCCTATCCAAGTTTAAATAGTCATGCGGTGGGTGTATTCTGAAAACTTCCATCATGAACGACAAAAAAGGACCATGTGCTATATACTCTGCACTCCCAATTTCAGCATTTAGAGCAGAGAATAGCTCTTCACAAATACCCTGAGGGACAGGTTGTGACAGTTCTTCGAACGACGCAAATCGTTTCAGTCTACTGAGCTTCTCAACGGTGTCGGTTTCTGCCCTCTCCAAACGCTGCATTTGCAAGAGCCTCAAAAAGCAATCAAAAAGACTAGTTGCAATAGGCTTTGAAGATGGAGAAGCTTGAATGGGAAGAAAGCCTTTGATTGGATATTTAAATGGAAGCCCTCCAAAATTTAACTCACATCGTTCACCTTGAGAAAGAGAAATTGCAGGATAGTACCCCAATCCAGGCACCATCTTTCGAATCCCACCAAATGCTACCCCAAGTGAGACGCCATTCCGGTAAAACAGTATCTCATCATAATCAAGATCAATGCAACATCCAATCACATCGCCCACAACCCATGACTGGCCATAAGGCTCGGGTTCCTTATTCCATTTACTAACCCTTTTACCATCATATGCATAAGAATCATCTGCATCTCCAACGCCCTTATGATCGGTGAATGGACAAAAAACAGTAGCCCAACCAAGCTGCTGTATACCACAAGTTTCGAGCGTAACTTCGTACATCCATTTCCCTTTCCACACACACGAATTAGCCCTCGCACTACTGAACAAAGCATGACTCTCCACAAGCAAAGGCTGTTTCACAATCCGAATGTCGCCAGAAATGCTAGATTCTTCAAGCCCCACAACCCCGTCTCTAATTTTAGTTGCAACAGTTTTTAGTTCTGGGTGATGCTTAAAGAATTCATTCTTGATTATCGAACGAACAGTACTAATATCAACAGGGCGAGTCAACTGCTTGACCGTTTTGTAAGGGAGATTAAAAATATGTTCAAGGGTCCGCTCCACAGACTGGTCACCAAAACCTTCACAATACGAAACTAGACGAGATTTTCCAGAACCCTCTCTCTTGTTATCCCCATTTAGTACAACAGCCAATCCAGAAGAAAGCCCACCAAGCCGTAGGCCATCATCGGCCATTGCCAACTACAGCAGGCTATATACAATCTCAATTCAAGCCCAATTTCCCACTTCTATAATACAATACACCACAGAGACTTTCCAGTAAACTTAAAACCGCAATAACCGTCGTCCTTCCTAAACCTGGAAAAAAATAACATTACAATCATCACTTTATAAAGATGCAGCATTCATCAAACAACTTTCCCTTCAATAATTAAAATCTAAAGCCCTTCAATCACAAAGCCTCGGAGTCTAGAAAAGAAAAATCGAAATAGTTTCATATACTTAATCGGGATAATCCATTCATCTAATCTTTTGTCTCAACTCTCAACTAGCTGAATTTTGTGATCTATTAAGCTGTCTGAGTACCTCAGAATAACTAAACAATCACAGATATACCTATACAAGCTCCTTTTTCGATTTTTTTCCCCTTTCGGTATCAAACCTATTGTAATCCACTGAAAACTAACTCAAAAATTTACCAAATTCTTCGGGAAAAAGTAAACTTGCTAAATCACAACAGTAGCAAAATAAATGCAAGATACCCGAATTAACCACAAATTAACAAATTTCTGCACACACACACTATTACCAATCACACACACACGCTATATCTACAACGGAATTGAATTTTTGAAGCACTTACAGGTGTTGAATCAGTGAATTTCAATCCAGAAACAGAAGTAGAGAGAAAATTAAAGCGTTTTCATGCTAGTAAAAAATCCTCTTCCATGGCGGCTGCGGAACACTAGGGTTATTGGACGGACGCCATTACTGGAAATGGAGAAAAGGCCAGAGGGCAAAATAAAATTGATTTCTACAAGGAAATTGAAGAGTTGAAATTTGATTTGTTTTTCTATTTATGGTTTTTTTTTTTTTTATTATTTAAACTTCGTTCCTTTTTTTTTCTGTTCGCAAGAACTTGCGAAGTAAAATCGGAAATGAAATGGGGTACGAAAATGAACATTTTTCACTGGGTCGGGTCAGGGCCTTCTTCCCTCCGGTTCCATTGCATCCGATTACTTACAAAGTCGCTGTTCGAAAAAAACAATTATTACCATGAAACTTGCTCTCACAAATAATATAAATTGACTCAAAAAAAAAAACAATAGGATAAATTACACCTACATCCCTAATGTATGCTAAAATAATTTTAAGGTCCCTACGGTATTGCTAATTACAGTTACCCCTAAAACATTGTTAGAAACTCTAACAGGATAATGCATTGGATACATTATTTCGATAGATTTCTAACGGACAATTAGTTTCGGGAAGTTGTGGGGACAGCATAGAGACCGGGGGTGATTTAAGAAATGTTGGGGGAGTCATGGCACCCTATGTTGTCTAGACCAGTTACTGAAACTAACGGTCCCGTTAGAACTCAATCGAAATAACGTATCCAAAATGCATTATCCCATTAGAATTTCTAACAATGTTTCAGGGGTGACTGTAATTACTTATACTACAGGGACCTTAAAGTTATTTTAGCATAGCTCAGGGGTGTAGGGTGTAATTTATCCCAAACAATAACCAAATTTGTGATAGGAAATATTGAAAAAGCTGTGAACTGTAGAGAATTGGAGAAAGAGCAACAAGAGGGGATCCCTTGTGGGGGAGACTGTTTTTGTTCGCGCGTGGCGGGTGACGGCAAGCATAGTGGGACCCACACGCTTCAGAAGACTGTTTTTGGCTGCAGAAATGGGTCGGGTCAACGGGTGGGATAAGATGAGCATTTATGTTGCAGATACCAACTTTATAAATCGCCTTCACGACTTTCTGAATTCATCTCACCTGGCGAAAACGGGACGGGTATTACCCGGCGAAAAGCGAAAACGGGGTTGTTCGAGTAATTTTGTCATCCTTTACCGTTCAGATTAACAAAATTCTATTAATTTAGTGTGATATTAAATTATCGAGTTAATAATGTAGCACACAGTCACTGAGACGGACTAAGAACAATTATTATTTAATTAAAATTATTAATTTATTGAGCATTAATTTAACGATGTTTTATGTATCAACAAATTTTTCATTCATAAGGATCGAAGATGTGCACAATTTTGTCTTACCCCCATAAATACAAATTAAAGATATCTGCAAGTTTTCGATATTTTGTGTTTAGTTTTCTAGTGTAAACTTTTTTCTATTATTTAATATTTACAAAAAATAATTAATATTTAATATAACTTAAAGATTAACTCATCCACATCTAAATTATATTTTTTTTTCTTTTTTTATATAATCACACTTCATTCCCCTAGCACATGATTGTTAATTCATTGATTTGGAAAATATATTTTTAGTGAACATTATTTGTGATCCAACAAACTTGGAGAAGTCATTGACTTCAAGAAAAATAAAAGAAAATGGAGACAACCGAAAATAAAAATAAATTTACAAAATTAGAGACAAACTTAACACTCAATCACTATCAATTTTTTATTTACTTATATTTTCTTATCATTTTCGCCCCTCAACTTTCATGAAAATGTTATTTCTTAGACCAATGCAGAAGCCAAAATATAAAAAAGGTCAATTGATCTCTCTCTTCTACTTGTCTCTTTTTAGATCTTATAAGCTAATAATATAACTTATATAATATATATATTGACCAAAATTTATTTTTATACCTTAATCATGGTAGTTAAGGTCGAAATACCATGTCATAGTACCTCAATCACACCGTTCAAGACAAATATTTAATTGTGTGTTATTACTACAGGTGTCTACGAGAATTCTAGGGACATCATTTTAAATGGTATAATTTAAGTAAATATTAATAGATTTTAAATAAAATTAGAGATTTTGTAACGTATGTGAACTCGGGATTATGTGGGCGATATAACGTGGGGAAAAAATTAGTGATGGTGCACTGGATTGTTCTATACTTTGGTCGCAATTGGTGATTCGATAACTTAATTTATAGGTGTAATTGTATTAGTAATTTTATAATAAGAATAAAATTGTAGAGGTGCTTTGTTTATGGTACACTATAATGTATAGAATCAAGCATGTGTTAATCACTCTCTTAACCGAAATGACCAAAATTGTTTGTCGAAACATGAAGAACTAAATCTGTTTTTTTAACAAGATGGGCCAAATGAGAAGTCAAGGTAAATTTAAGGGAGAAAAGTGTAATTTTTTCATATCTTTTCAATTATTCTTTTAGTACTCAAATACTTACTATTGAAGAAACTTAGGTGCTATAGTGGAATAATCAAGAAGTGAGTCATTGAGCATAGTGGCTAAAGAAAAGTGATGTGGGACAGTTGGCCTTCACATTCAATGGCTATTCTTCAAAGTGATTTGGGTCCAATTTGGATTCATATGCTCAATCTTGAATCATATAATATCTCAACTTTTTTCTAGGAGGTATAAAAAATGATTTTTTTTTTTTTTCCGAGATAAGCGAACTTACGTATCACTAAATCAAGGAAATACAAGAGTCGAACAGTGGAAACTCACCATCACAAAAGCGAGAAACATGGAAAGAAGATGGAGCCACACCTCCCCAATCGACAAGATCAGCCCACGTAGCGAGATTGTGAGCTGCAGAGTTTGCGTTTCTACGAACAAATTTAAAACGCTATTTAGGCCAAAATGCCCCCAACACTTCCTAATTTCCTTAATATGCAATTTTGCCGACCAATCAATGATGCAGAATTAGTCTTTGAATGACTTAATTGATCTTTGCATGAGCAACGAACATGACATATTTAGAATAATATGAATTAAAACTTCATTGATTAACTAATCATTTCAGTTGTACTATTACTAAGATTAGATCTTGCATTAATTTATTAAATTCTGGTATCACGAGTTGTCAATTAAATGTATTACCTAACAACATTAAATGAAGTATTTCTTAATTATATCTATCTAAAATTAAATAAATGTCGAAGTGATGCTACTAATTTAATGAGGTGTGTGTGACGATTTTCCTAACCTTAATGGGCTGATAAATTGATTTATTAGGCTCGGCCCGAAGGCCCAAAATCAAGCAAATCAAGACTCGGCCCATATTCTATTAGACCACTTTTGCAGGTGGTTTCACTTGTATGAATTTACTGAAATACCCCTAGACACTAATTAGGTCCAAAACATGACCATTTTATATATTTCTTAAAATGCTGAACTAAGCACTAATCGAACCCTTTTCAATATAATTAATTAATACTTAGTCGCCTAATTTTGTGTTGGGCACACATCTTATTACTTGCAGAACTAGTCCTAGATTTTACAAGTTCTATCTCACAGATCTAACCATTTTTTTGTAACAATAATTACCATTAGTTGTTGATTGAATTTTTAATTGATATCACCACAATTTGGTTAAAGATGTTGAGTTTGGTTTATTTATAGGAATCCAAGCTTTGAATAAGTGCATATTGTATGTTACATAACGAGTCAAGAGATAGCAGGAGCGACTAAATCGTTTAACCTTGAGGTCATTGATTCCAGACTTGCCCCACGTAAATAAGCAAAAAATTCGCCAACTTAATATTGGTCTCATACAAGGATTTGGTCTTGCAAGTACTAAATATAGCATAGAAATGGCCCCAATATTTCGGTGAGATCACGCGGATACATCGGATTTTTTAGATGTTATACCCCGTTAAATACATCAGGTGATTTTAAACAATAAATCTATACATAATAACACACACGTGTATTTTAAAATCACCGAATGCAGCATTTCATCAATCCAAACATTGTTTATATTTGTAGAATGATGTCAAATAAATGTCTCATAAATGGAATATATAGTAATTAAGTTTTCTTTTCGGTTCTCGGATTTCGGGTTTCAGGTTCAGTTCGATTAAAGTGCATATTCCCCAGAATTGCTCCCCCCAATAAAAAAATTCAAGAGTAACACCCATCTTTGAAGAACTGCACTAATAGAATGTTTCATTAAAAATCAAAATAATAAAAATAAAAATAGTAAAAGCAAGAACAAAATATGAAATAATTCAATGAACTCACACAGCTCGTGAATTCAGTCAATTGTACTACAAAACTGGCGATTCATACGAATAATACAAAACCTCATTACCCTCTTTTTAACCTTATAACCTCTTCAAGTTTTTACATGTTCTAAGAAAAGAAAGAAACCCAATAATCTGGTCTCGAACTCTCGGCATTGTACTGCTCCTCAATTTCTCGAGCTAAGAATTCCAACACCAAAGCATAGTAGACGATAACGAGTGATGACCAATAGTTGCTCTTCTTTAGTACAAAAAATTAGTCCACTCACATAATCTTGTCAGCCTTCCCATAGTATCTGTTTATGAAGGATGACTGCAAATACACACAATTAAGTATTTAGTATTTTCTTCTTTACATTATTCGAGTGTTGTCATCTCGTATTTCGTTCTAAATAGTTAGTTACTGGCCATTGTATTGACTAATGAGCGATATATATATATATATATATATATATATATATATATATATATATATTAGCACTAAGAATGAGAATACTTTACCTTGACGCCTGATACATCGGGTGCATTGGGAGAAGCGACAGGATAAAATTTGTAGAACTTCATGCTCTCATAAGCAGCCTTGGTTTGCTCACTCATTTCAGCCAGTGCCTTCTTACGGGCTTCCCTTGCCTATACAGAAATAAGGCTCACAGTTTAAGATAAGACGATAAATAGAGAAAATCAACTAGCTAGAATATATTCCACCATAGTTGAAAAAAGTACCTCGCGGTTGGCCTTTTTAGCTTCTCGAACTTTCTCCTTCACAAAATCCTACATAAATTCTTTTGTTAATATCCAGAAAACAATGAAATAGGGAGTAGAAAAGTGAAAACATTGAATCGTGCAGATTTACCTTGAAGGGTTCTTTTTGGTCGGCAGATAACTCCTCTTCTTCGATAAGTTTATCGGTGAACTCCTGAATAAAAATTTATCATTTTAAAATAAGCTCCCAGTAATGATTTGTGGGTATGCTAAAAACACTATTACGAAGAACATAAATTTCAGCATACCTCTAGTTCATCTAGTTCCCAGTCAAACTCACAGAAAACCTGGAGGGCAAATTTGAAATTAAGTTAGTCGTGTAACGATGGTTAAGTATCTTTCTGAAGTGATCTGACAATTCTTGTGAATGTTGAGGAAAAAGTTCAATATGTAAACTGGCTAAGCTTTCATGCTATATACAAATTAGTATCACAAGTATGATCTTACTGGCTGGGGATCTATTGGAAAAAGGATCGGCACCACCGTGCTCTGTTCAGTTTCATCTTCTTGGAAAGGATGGTAGAAATCTGCCAAAAGATGACAAGTACAATCACATTAATACTGTGCAGCCAAACCACAAGGAACTGAGCAGCCAAACCATTTTGTTGGATCCAAAAACTGAAACGGGAAGCAGAGTGAAAATATAATGTCGTAGCAGCCACAAAAAAAAGGGACATTAAGTTCACTCACAGGGTAAGCAATACTCGTACTTCTTCACGCGCTCTATCTTCAACTGCTTTAGACCAGCCCTGCAATAAATAAAAAATAGTATTGAAATTTTAAAAAGTTGCATCCCCCTCCGTCAAATACGATTTGAGGTCCCAAACTACAACACTTACTCTCCCCTCTGATGTAGAATGTAATGGTAAAAGCAAAACACACCAATCAAAACTGATTTTTCAAGCATTTTATTTCCAGTAAGATAAGCATGAATTACGGATTTTTTTTTACACAAGACATGTCATATATCGGGCCAACTGGGTTCTCAAACATTATAACTTGTTTACTTTTCCAACTTTTATCAATGCGGAGTAGAGCATCACAGTAGATCATCATCTATAGTCTTTCTTAATGAACTTCCGAGTTCCAACCCCCACACAGAACAAGAGAATGTTTTTTTTTATCAACAAACATAACTTAATTATCACCACCCTCGGCTTTCAAAGAAAATAAATTCCATCCATCTCATTGCAGATAACCTTCCATGGTTTCACCACTAAATGAACTTGTTCACTTGTTGAAGTCCCCAAACTATTTAATAACATCAACAATCTTGAGGACAGTCAACAAGTCAAGATTGACAATTAGACAAACTACATGAAAGCACAAGGATGACATAACACATAATAAAACTGAACATAGAATTTTTTGCTCAAAGCCTTAGACAAATGTAATCTTACATTCCTTCGAATAGATCTAACTCAGGACAGGGTAAAATAGAAGTATCAGAGCATGTCACATACCTTCTCTGCGTACAACTCAAAATGAAGATTTGTGATTTTTTAAGTCTTTCAACTTGAGATTCCCTGTGGAAACCCAAAAAAAATGATGAGCTGTCTACAATTTGATAAAATAAAATCAGCAGGCAACAGAATAAAGAAAGATATAAGACCTCTTTTCAAGTGGGATATATGGAACCCAGTCCATTTTCATCTGCTTCATCGGCAAGATTTCTTCAGTCTCTCTTTGAACTGATTTAATCCCAATCTTATCAGAAGGAGGAAAAGGGGATACCACCTGTTAACAAAAACGATATCAATGAAACAAGAAAAATTATTCTATACTAGAAAAATCCACAATCAAGAAAGAAGGATTAACAAGAAAACAGAGAACACTATAATAAACACAATCTAAAATAACCTCCACTTATGACATCAAAGAAGACAATTAATACACCACGAATTAGACAATAACAACACCCAACAGCATAATTGAAATAGTTCACATATTTAAATCTTTTACAATAACACAAACCGACACAAATCAAACATGAAATCTATGAAAAGCTTGATATGTAAGTTCATACTGCTTTCTGACATTTTACAATTTTATTTCGTTAAAACAAACACAGGATGGCCCCTCTATTTGAAGCACAAACAATATTAAAAGCAACTTCAAGATGTGAAAAAAAACAGTTGGTTCCACTATTTGCACAGAAACTACACCAAAACACACAATTATACACTTGCAGCAGAGGTAACAGAAAATGTAAAACACTTCACACATATCACTGAAGCCTTGCATATACATATAACCAAATATGATCAACCACACAACTTTATAACAATGAAAGAATAAATGACCACATCATAAAAAATGTCTTTATATTTGGAAAAAGTTTTAAGGACTTACAGCTACCACGACAGGGATCATTGTAACTTTTGCGTGACCCTGGAAAGAGACCAATTGAGCTGCAGAAATAATGGTAGGATAGTTTAAGTAAAACAATAAAGTTAACATAAAAATCTGAAAGAGACAGTAGCAAGAAAGATGTTAATACATAAGCATTTTTTTCTGAAAAAACATTAAGAAATTTAAGAAGTTAATCTTGAACCGAAGCAAGAATTATGTTCAGCACAAAAGGAAACAATGGTTAAGCATGACAAACAATCAAATCGATGGATTAGAGGCTAGAGCCAAAAGTTGAACTCCAGCTACAGAAACTCATAGGATAAAGTACAGATATATATTCATTCTCATACATAAAATACGCAACATTAATTTCAAACACAAAAAGGCGGATCCATGCAATAATGGTTACTTACGCTCTGTGCAGCCAAAGAGGTAGACCTTCTTATTATATAACTCTCCACCTTCTTCAAATGCCTCCTGCCAAAGTCCTCAAGCAATGTTAGCACAAAAGGTTCCCTACCTCTTCAGTTTTTTTCGTTTTATTTATAAATACACTCTAGTGTTGGTAAACTATGATTCACCATAGAATATAATAAAGAAGAACAGCCCATCAACAAATTTCATAGGTTAAAATAGAAAGAGAGATCAAGATATAGCCAACTCACTTCCAAATTAGAGAAGTCCCATTTGTATTGATATACCATGTCCAACTGATCCCACTGCCAATGAAAAACCACCAACAAAAAGGAACAAAAAACATCAAACATATGATCATTAAAACAACTAGGTAAAAGAAACGAGGCTGCAAAAATTTCAACACTTAAGTAAGCATGTTTTCACCTCCGTTCCAACTGGAAAAACCTGCTGCCAGAGATCCTCCTGCACAAAAAAAAAAATAGTGCATATAAGAATTAAGGCATATTAAGAGTGTCGAAGAATCTTCAAATTCGATAACACCGAAACAGCACACATATGCAATAAAATAACCAGATGTAGAGTTAACCTTCATCATTCAAAAATAAATTAACACCAGTAAGCAAGATAAACAGTAATTCGAAAGCCAACAATAACACTTGACCTAGAATATATTCTGTTAGAGAATATTATATTATAGAACTCTTGTAATATTAGGATTCTAGTATGATTCGGTTACCTAGATTAGTTAGGATTTAGTTACCTAGTCAAACTCTATTACCTTACAATATTTCTCTATACAATATTTCTCTATATATATTCCATGTAATCAACCCATAACACACAATAAAATCACCAGATGTAGAGTTAACCTTCTTCGTTCAAAAATAAATTAACACCAGTAAGCAAGATAAATAGTAATTCGAAAGCCAACAATAATACTTGACCTAGAATATATTCAGATAGATTATAAAAATCCATTGCACTAGTCTGGATAAAATTTCAATTTAGGACCAATTAAAAAACCTTCAAAAAATCATTAAAATTAAACATCAATGCCTGAAAATCATACGCTAGAATAAGAGAAGTTATACCAAATTACGCTTCTCCTCAAAGTACTCCGTCTCCGTTTCAGGCTTCGAAACCTTAGCTCGCTTAGGTTTTCTCCCGTCAGCTGCTTTGTTGCTTGCCTTCGGCTCGGCTTTCCCCTTCTTCTTCTTCTTCATCACCTCCACATGATTCTCTTCAGCCGGCTCGTTTATCGGCTCCTCAGGCGCCGGCTCGTCTATCGGCTGCTCAGGCGCCGGCTCGTTTATCGGATTCTTCGAAGGCTCCTCCTCCGCCGCCTTGTGAGTTGTCTTCCTCTTAGCACCTCTCCTCATCGCTGCTGTACTTTCAGAGAGATAGAGATAGAGAGAGAGAGAGAATGTACGAAATTGGAAGAGTGTAGAGAGAGAAAGATAGGGTTTGGTGGGAAACGAAATTTGAATTTGGGGAGAGAAGAGAAAATTGTAGGGCGGAAACAGCGGATGCAAAGCGGAGCGTCGGTCTGATGTGCGACTGGTCTCTCTCGTTATATATATACGGCTCGGTATATATATATATACGGCGTGCAAATTACGCAGGGTACAAGTTTCTCCTCTGGAAATTTTCTAGGAAGGCAATAAATATTTATTAAATTTAAAAAAAATAATTAATTAGGGACAATAGCAATTAATGGTAGGTGTTAACAATAATTAAATTTCATAAGATGTTCAAATTACGAAATTGGCAAAATATCTAATAAAAGTCGGAATAAAAGATTGGCTTAATTCCATTTTGCATTCTTAAAAACATTTAATAGCACTTTGCACCCTGAGAAAGCAATCAACAGTTCATGACCCACCATGAGTTGAATATTTAAAATTTAATAAGAGCAATTTCATTTTTTATTGGTTTTTTTTTTTTCATAGCGTAAATTAACAAATTAAATTGTTATTTGTTCAACCTCCAACATGATTTTGAGCTTACAAAATGTGAAAAAATAAGAATCACACCGAATTACTGGGGAAAAATACTATACTCTCTTAGAAAATAAAATAAAAAAGACTTTTATCACTAAATTATTTTATTGTAATTGGTGAAAATATTTGGTAGAAATCTTTGAAAGAATATACGATTTTCAAATAACTTGATAACAAAATAGTTGAAGGAATTATTATTTACTTTTTTTGAAATTTTTTTTTGTGATAAAAAATATAACTTTCAAATATGTTGACGGGATGCATTTTTTTTTTTGCATTTTATAGTTTGACATTGTTTTGATTATATTTGACATTTGGCATCCTAAAAAATACCAGTAAAAATATTATATTACCTTCAGTAACTTTAAAAATTCATTTGTTGTGTATTATGCATGATTTACTGCATTTTGATAATGTAAAGTGCTATTAATTTTTTTCGAGGGTGCAAAGCACCAAAATGCTATATCTCAAGGGTGGAAAGTGGGATTAAGCCATAAAAGATTGGACTATATTAGAAAAATGAGGGGAGGATTAGATAAATTTAAAATATGATGAAATGAAACCGGCCCATTAGTATAGATGAAATTGGAAGACCAGACCATAAAATTGAGATTAGGCCCAATAAGTTCTTTTTAGACGAATTCATAAAAACATGAAAAAAATAAGTAAATATTTATAGATTTATATATATTTATAAGTAAATATTTATAGATTTATTTAAGACTAATTAATAGGTAATTGATTTTCTGTAAAGTCCACCGTTATTGTAATTTGTCTTCTACCATTACAAAGAATTGTGGTCCTCTTTTTTGAATTTTGAATTATTTTATTTTGAGGCACAATAAGATTGTTTTGAACACAATACAATAATCTTAATGTCTTATATATTAATATTAATCTGTTCACAGTAATATTACATATCTTATCTTTTTTTTTTTTTTTTTAAAGAACCAACATTATAATATTACTGGATGAAAAAATAATATTGCAGGCTGAAAAAGTAGTATTGCAGGCCAAAATAGTAAAATTAGTGTGTTAACAATAATAATAATGTACGAGACAATAATATTGCAGATCAAGACAGTAATATTATAGTCTTAACAACAATATTTTTGTTTAAGACATTAATATTGCATCCCAACACAAATATTATTATATTATCAGTAATATTATTTATGGCGGTCAAAAAGTCGGAAAAATACAAGAAGTCAATGCTAAAGAGCGAAAAAAAGTTTCAAAAATAGAAAAAAAAAAAAATCAACACCGGAAACTGAAGGCGAAAGACAAAAAAAAGAAAAGTTTCAAAAATAATATGGTTTCAAAAAAAAAAAAAAATTCAAAGTCAGACTGGCAAAATTGGAGTCAAATATAGATCTAGTAATTAATCTAGATCTACCACGCACCATCATGCCTTGGTCTTGGATCTATCGCATATATTTAATTTCATTTTATATGCTACATGCATTTATTGATCCTATAATATACATACCCAATCTACAAAAATAAAACCTCCATTATATTGTCAAATCTATATCTTGGAATGAGAACAAAAGATATATTATATAATTAATACGGCAAATTATGATTGCCTATTAATGAATTACGAAAACACCGCTCATATTTTGATAATAACAATCATTCTCTCAACTATGTTATTGTATTACAAAAAACTAGTTATTTAATATGTAAATTTGACACTGTAAGGATAAACGTGTAAAACAATACATAGTTGAGGGGTTATAAATAATTATCTAAACATAAGGGATTTTTCAGAAAAAAACCGTGTTACGACTCCTTGAAGTCAAATTCTTTTTTTATTTCTGTCTTTAATTAGTAGTAAATGGCAAGTTGGTTACAGATAAGCCAATCAAAGACCACTCAACAGTAATGCCAAAAGTGTCTGGTTATTTAAATTCAACTCCCTTCTTTCATTTCTGTTCACAAATTTCCTTTTCTTTCTTTCCATTTCCATACATTAAATAAAATAAATAAATAAATAAAAATGGCTTGGAATATTTGGATAACTGCACTAACAGCAATCACAATCCTGTATCTCATCCAACAATGTCTAAACCTAGCAAACAAGAAGAAGAAGAAGAAGCTTCCTCCAGGCCCGATCGGGCTTCCGATCATCGGCCACTTCCACTTACTAGGCAAAAACCCCCACCAAGACTTGCACCGCTTGGCCCGCAAGCACGGCCCGATCATGCACATGCGCTTCGGCTCGGTCGACACAATCATAGTCTCGTCGCCCGCCGCAGCCGAGCTCTTCCTCAAAACCCACGACCTCGTCTTCGCTAACCGGCCCCACCACGAGGCCTCCACCTACATAGGCTACGAGCAGAGGAACATCGTATTCGGGCCGTACGGCCCGTACTGGCGAAACATGCGCAAGCTCGTCACGCTTGAACTATTAAGCGGTTCGAAGATCAACCAGTTTCAGCCCATGAGGAAGGCGGAGCTCGGGCTTTTTGTCGACTCGCTAAAACGGGCCGGGCCGGGCCGAGAGCCCGTCGACATGAGCGAGAGAATTATGTCGTTGGCGGCGGATATGACTTGTTTGATGGTTTACGGGAGGAAGTTCGCGGGCAAGGATTTGGACGAGAGAGGGTTTAAGGAAGTGATGAAGATGACGATGGAGGAGGCCGCGGCGTTTAATATCGGAGACTATTTTCCGTATCTTAGGGGGCTCGATCTTCAGGGCTCGGCCCGAAGGTTGAAGAAATTGAGCAAGATTTTTGACGGGTTTTTGGAGAGGATTATCGATGATCATGCTCCGAAGAAGGAAGAGAGGAAGGAGATCAGTATGGATTTTGTGGACACGTTGATGTCGATTATGGAGTCGGGCGAAGCTGGATTCGACTTCGATCGCCGCCATGTCAAGGCTGTGCTATTGGTAAAATTTATAAACCACATATTTAAGTTTGTTCGTCGTTGACTTTTCTTATCGAAATTATATTTTTGAAGATGGGTGAAAATCGGATGGATAGAATTAGAATTAGAACTTTCGGAAAAAAAAAAGTCAATTTTTTTCAGAAGTAAAAAACTAATTTCAATTGCGTTCCAAGAATATTCAAAAATTGGATAAAAAATTTGTTCCAAAATTGGAAATTTTACTGACTGGAATCAGCATAATCGGAAATTCCAATTTTCAGTCTCTTATAATGTAAAATACATTTTGTCAAAAAAAAAATAATGTAAAATACATAATAATATTGATATTATTAATGTACCTTTCGGAAAAATAATTGAATTTTTTGGAAATATTTTCGAAAATTAAAATCGGAATCTACACTTGTAGATGATTGGTCGAAAACAAAAAAAATTCGGATCAGAGTCATCGGAATTTGAAATTTTGTTCTAGTTTCCACCCTATTTTTGACAATTAGAATAAGTATACATAGAGGTGTCGAATTGAAAAAAAAATCCGGGATTTTTAGGCCGAATGCGAAAAATCCTAAAAAAAACTCTGTTTTCTTCTTTTTAATACAGGATATGCTACTAGCAGGAATGGATACTTCGGCAGCGGCGGTGGAATGGGCGCTGTCGGATCTCGTCAAGAATCCGACGGTCATGAAAAAACTCCAAAAAGAGCTAGAAGAAATAGTCGGCATGGACCAAATGGTGGAGGAATCACATCTCCCCAACCTCAAATACCTCGATTACGTCGTCCGAGAATCGATGAGGATCCATCCAGTTGGGCCGTTGCTAATCCATGAATCGATGGAAGACTGCGAAGTCGACGGTTTCCACATACCGAAGAAAACACGAGTCCTCATCAACGTGTGGGCAATAGGGAGAGATCCTAATGCATGGGCCCATCCGGAGAAATTTTGGCCCGAGAGGTTTGTTGAAAGCCCGAATGTGGATCTTCGGGGACGAGACTATCAGCTTATACCGTTCGGGACTGGAAGAAGGGGGTGCCCGGGATTGCAATTAGGGCTCACAATTGTGCAATTAATTGTCGCGCAATTGGTTCATTGCTTCGATTGGGAACTTCCTCACGGTGTTTCGGCTAGTGAATTGGATATGTCCGAGAATTTCGGTTTGGTGACGTCTAGAGCTAAGCATCTAATGGTCATTCCCACTTATAGATTGAACAAATAACCGTGGATGTTGGTTTCTCGTTTAAGTTTCGTTTGGTTGGTAAGATAAGTCAGCTTTCAAAAAATAATGTTGTAATAAAATTCAGCTTACGTACCGATGGGAATTTTATTTTTCCGTTTGTATTGTTACGTTGGTAAATTTTTATCGGTGATCGTTTCGAATCAATATGTATAGGAAAAAATCTTCTTGAACACAATAATGCATTCAAGATCCTTTATAACTATGGTTGTAGCCTTTTTAGAGAAAATCGTGACAACCCACGTCAACGATTTGAACAAGACGATGTCGGGAAGAAAACGAGACCGAAGATTCTCAACTATGAATAAACATAGACCAAATTAAAAAAGATATTCAAGTCGGATTTCAAAACGTAAACAAACACAAATTTACAAAATAAAAAAGGATCGAAACGATTTTAAAATTAGGCCAAACATAGCCAATGAACCTCCGACACAAGTTCGATCACGCACATCTTGAAAACTATTTGAAGGGATTTTTTTATCTACAATCAAGAAAAAAACGCACCTTTGCGCATCACGATTTAAGATCGTTGGTCATTATTACACCCCGAACGCTAGGTCGGTTTTGAAGAATCTTCATAAGTTTGATTAGTACTTGCATAAGATTCTCCGTGCGAAAGCCAGACAGTGTAGCCACGTACGAATCCCTTCTTCTTTATGTGTAAATGAACCTCGTCTCGAGTAAAATGTTTTCTATTGCAACATTTCGAACAAGGGCATCTTATTCGATCCTCAGCACCGTTTTGCGAGCAAGCAAAATCGAGGAATTCGTTAAGCCCGTTTTGAAATTCACAAGTAATCCATCCATCCTTATCGAACCGACGCCACATCCAACTACGATCCTTTGACATAGTAGCTACTGCATTTTTTTAAATGCATTTAGTTCAATGTATGTCAAAAAATAGAACTTCAACTTTTTTAATACTATAAAACCTTCTCATACAAATATAATACAAGAACAATGACGAACAGTAAAAATAAATATATCTTACGGATGAGGATTGTGAATTTATCTCGTAATTAATTATATGCAATGGCGGCGGTGGTGGATGGATGTTGGCGGCGGTGGTGGATGGATGTTGGCGGCGTTGATGCTCCGCTTGCGAGGAGATGGAGAGGCGGCGGCTACTATAAAGACATAAAATATTTTGTTCGTTGTAAGGGTAATTTCTAGAAATATTTTTTATAAGAAAATAAAAAAATTATCGCCGTTGCCGGGGATCGAACCCGGGTCACCCGCGTGACAGGCGGGAATACTCACCACTATACTACAACGACTACTTGTTGCTACGTTTGTACAGTGTATATATTTATTCAATTGGTAAGTAGACGCACAATATCAAAGACTATTATTGTAGCTGCCGGATTTTTGGTTTCGGTTACAGGTTCGGTTTTTGTTGTCAATTAATAGACCACAAAAACTTATACTATTGTATTTTGAATTGCAGATTGTGAGGCGATGGCAATTTATATTGTAGCACTTAAATTATATCTAGAAGTAGAAGTATGAAGGAAAGACGAATTTGAAACAATTAGTATAAACATTTTCCACTGTAACAATCAAATTATGTACGAGCACGACAAAGAGGAAGAGAATTTCCAACATTCAACTTTGGAAATGAAGTTCCAAACATATATAAAAGTTGAGAAAAATAAAAATGAAATGCTTTCCAAACATTAAAAATTGGAAGTTACTAACCAAAATTAAATATTGATAAAATAAAGAATCAAAACTCCAAATATACATACATACATATATACAAACATATATACACAACCATAGAGCCAACAACATCCTTAAATAAAAAAACCAACAACATCATCCCACACTAATTTACCATTTTAATTTACCATTTTTATTTATTAATTCAATCGATAAGTAGGACGAACCATAAGATGCTTAGCCCGCCCGGTCACCAAACCAAACTCTTCGGCCATATCCACGTCACCACCACCCGGAATCTCCCAATCGAAGCAATGAACCAATTGCGCCACCACCAACTGGACTATAGTCAACGCCAGCTGCATTCCAGGGCATCCCCTTCTTCCCGATCCGAACGGTATAAGCTGAAAATCCCGTCCTCGTAAATCCACATTCGGGCTTTCGACAAACCTATCGGGCCAAAATCTCTCCGGGTCGGCCCACACGTTAGGGTCTCTCCCTATGGCCCACACGTTGACCAGAACACGGGCTTTCTTCGGTATGTGGAGCCCGTTGACCTCGCAGTCTTCCATTGACTCGTGGATTAGCAAGGGCCCCACGGGGTGGAGCCTCAGTGATTCTCGGACGACGTAATCGAGGTACTTGAGATGGGGGAGGTGCGACTCGTCGACTAATTGGTTTTTGCCGACGGTTTCTTCTATTTCGATTTGGAGTTTCTTTGTTACGGACGGGTGGTTGATGACTTCCGATAGCGTCCACTCCATCGCTGTTGCTGACGTGTCCAATCCAGCTACTAGCAAGTCCTTGGAAAATTAAAAGAAGATATAAATCATAATTTTGATATACTTCATAAGTTTAATTTATCAAAAAAATATGACATAGGTATATAGATGCATATAAAATATATATTAGCTATTTAAATATGTATAATTGCATATTAATTGGTAAACCTCACCAATTATAATGTAATTGAATAAACATGTGTTACTAATTATCACATAGCAATTGAAAAACAAAATTACTGTCACCTTGATAGATATCAATATGAGCCACAATTGTCATGGTAAATAAAATAGGATTTACTGCAATTGGCACCCTTGTACTTTTTTATAATTGTTAATTAACCCCAAATGTTATCTTATTGACAAAAAATCCCCTATAATTCATTTTTTTTACCAGGCTACCCCTAAAAACTAACCATTTAGGGGTTGTGTGCCAATAAAAAAAGATGGTGAGTTTTATGTTTTTTAACAATTAGAAAAGATAACATAGACATATATACTAAATGCAAAAACACAAATAAAATCTATGACAATTTGTTTTTTTTTTTGAATTACCAATAGCACAGCCTTGACATTGCGTCGATCGAATTCGAATCCAGCTTCGCCCGACTCCATAATCGACATCAACGTGTCCACAAAATCCATAGTCTCCTTCCTCTCTTCTTTGTTCCGCACATATATATATATATATATATATATATATATATATATATATATATATATATATATATATATATATATATATATATATATATATATATATATATATATATATATATATATATGAGTGAAATTGTAGAGTAAATGTAAGTAAGTTTGTCTTTATTCTGAAAATGGAAGGAGGGTGATGTTTGCATTACTCAAGAACTCAATAAGTGAACATGTAATTATGTGGACTTTATAGCCGGATGAAGTTTGACTTGTTATTCTTGTGAAGTTTAAGATTATCTCCAAGGATGTATGTGAATTATCTCGAAATATCAAATATGTATTCTTTTGTTTTTTTTTTCAAGAACTACCACTTTGTAATTGGGTTAATCCCACTTTTCACCATTGAAATATGGCATTTTGGCATTTCGCCCCCTTGAAACAAATTAATAGTATTTTGCACCATTGAAACACAATAAATCATTCAAAATGCACCCTGAATTGAATATTTATAAGTTAATGAGGGTAATTTAATTTTCATTGTCTCTTTTCATTTTCAGGGTGCAAATAACGAATTAAATTATTTTATTCCATTCCCAACATAATTTCGAGCATACGAAATGCGAAAAAACAAAAATGACAAAGAATTACTGAAAAACTATATTTTCTTACCACAAAAAGAAAAAAAAAACTAAATTATTCGATTGATGGATTTTTATATTGTAATTAGTGAAAATATTTGGTAGACATAATTGGAAGAAAATATAATTTTCAAATAATTTGATACCTAAATAGCTAAAGGATATTTTTTGTTCCTTTTTAGTTTTTGTAAAATATTTTTTGTGACAAATATATTAATTTAATATGTTGATGAAATGTATTTTTATTTTTACACTTTGTAATTCAGAAATGATTGAAGAATAAAAACAAAATTAGTTTGACATTTGACATCCTAAAAAATATCACAAAAAATATTAAATTACCTTCATTAGCTTTAAAAATCCATTGTGGGTGTATTATGCATGATTTATTGTGTTTCGAGGGTGCAAAATGCTCTAAATTTTTTTCAAGGGTGGCAAAGTGCCAAAACACTATATTTCAAGGATGCAAAGTGCCAAAATGCTATATCTCCAGGGTACAAAGTAGAATTAAGCACTTTGTAATTTATAATTGTCAACAAAACCATTGTGTTAAAAAAAATTAGCAAGGAACCCCTACAAAAGTTAGTCAAAGCCAAAAAACTCCTTAACAGCTTTTCGTGATGCCCAATCACGGATTGTGAGACTGGAGTAAGTTTTTGGATGAAAAGTCAAACATACCCTTAAACTTCAAAACTTTGAAAATTATAGTTTCAACCCAGAATTTTATAAGCCCTAAATTAAAATTTTCAGAATTTTTAATTCAGTCCTTTTCATTTTTCGAAAAATCCCTCTTATTCAAATTTGTTCCACATCGTCACTGTATGCGACCATCTTCATTATCAGCCCCGGATTTTCTCATCATAAAAGAGAAAACATAAAAGATATATATTATATATATGAACAATGAATCATCCAGTTTCACTGAATTTGGGATCCTCTGCTCGCCGCTCTTCTCCATCGCCGGCCGCGGCAAACTTACGCTTCAGCGTGGAGTTGCATTGGTTTTTGATTGCATTGTCGATCAAGCCTTCGACCACTGCTGCACCATGTCGAGCTTCGTTGCACCTATAACAAGAAGAAGATGAGATTTGGGTGATTTTTTTTTCTTTTTTAACTTAATAATTTAATATGTATTTCATTTTATTTGTTTGAATTAAACACTATTAAAAATTGCTAGGGTAGTTTTGTCATTTCCTCTAAGTCAACAACTAAATATCAAATAAAGGGCATTGTGCTATATAAAACACGACATAGGTATTTGCTAATTTTTTTAGCATGAGAGGTTTTTCGACAATTCGAAATTACACAGGGGGTCTATCTAATTAACTCGTTCTTTAGGATATGTCTTAAATATAATGAGTAAACTACAACATGTGTAATCTCGAAATAGTAGAAAACCTCTTATAATAAATAAACTAGTCAAAAACACCCCTGTTAATATTTTTTTATAAAATTACACACTAGACCCATTTCCATGTTTGTCTTGTTTTGTGTAATTTTTAAATCTAATGTAATTTTTTTTCAAACACAAAACCCTAATTTGAGTCGGTTGATTTATTTTTCCGTTTTTCATTGTGGGTGAAAATATCGTCCTCGTACATCCACATTTTGGGTTTTCAATACACTCGGCCCGAAATTTCCCTGGATTAGGCCCGACATTATGTGGAGCCTATTTACTTCGCATTCTTCCATTAGCACAAACTAGCAATTTTTCCTGTGCGATGCACGTGATATTATTTCAAAAGTGAACAAAAATAATCAATTTAATACATAATAAGAAAATACAGTACACTAACATAGTAATTTTTAATAATGTTGTATTATTCATATTTTATATAACATTAATTATTTTAAATCTTACATATTAAGATTTATAACGAATATAGTTTCTGAAATTAGTAGAGAAAAATATTAAAAATAAATAATTACAGAAATATCATTAGAGTTTTTAGGGCTGACCCTACGTTTCTTTCTTTTATATATAAGATAGCCAGTGACAATGACGAGTGACTTCTATAATAACTTTAACCTTTTCTTCTTTATTTAAATAATAAAATAAAAATAAAAATAAAAGAAATGTTAAAAAAAAATACATGACTTCAAATTACAATGGTTATATGCCATAACCTCCAATTCAATGTTTGAGTGCTGCAAAATACAAAAGAAACACCAACTAACTCAGAGTTTCAGACAACTACTACCTCATTTTGTCTACAAACAATTTGAATCTATACCCGAAACCCGAAAAAAAAAAAACAAAAAAATCACGGACAAGAAATACGATTAGAGCCGTAACTAATAGCTTGGAGGCTCAAATCGGACATATTAGCGGCCCACGCACGCGGTGTGTCTTTCGATTCACCTTGTAAATTGTAAGCATAAGAAGGCCATCTAACATCCAATCCACACTTTTCATCAAGTCCCATAGTAATCATTTTCTGAGTTCTATCGAGAACCACGAGGCTAGAAAAAGTCGAGAAGCTATTCCCAACAAAAACATCCGATCTCACACAAACTTCATAGTCGATAGCCGATCGTATCAAATAGGATTGCTTCATATATATCATCGAAAACACCCAACTTTTTCTTCTCGAAAGGAATCAAACCTTCCTTCCAACCAGCCAAAATCGAGTTATCTTCTTCTTCTAGAAGATCATCGGCACCGCAAGGTATATTCCGATCGGGGTTTTCAACCCCGCGATATTCCCGACTCGTTCGATAATCTGCTCTTTGCTACTGCAGATTTCCGTTACGTTCAGTCTCTGCTCGAGCTTCTTGCAGTGTATCATCCAATCCTTTTCGATTCTCATATGAACCGCTACGTACGGTAACAACAACGTCGAATTACTACCGTTTTGTAACGAGGTGATTCTTTTTCTAATCTTGGAAACGACTTTATCGGCCTCGTTGGATATTTCTTCGACCAAGACTAAGCACTCGAAGACTTTTGCGTAGTCTTTAACGGGCCAATGATCGTGCCACAGAAACGGGTTCTTGCCGAGTATCCGGATTGTTCCGTACTCGTTGTAGGGATGCTCGGTCAACTGTTGCAACTGTTCTAGATCTTTCTCGACCGTCCATTTCCGGCCGCTACCCTTTTGGATTAGCTCGATTTTGTCGGAATTTTGTGGGTGGCTGCGTCCCAATTGGACGAACCCTTTGCAGAGTGAATTGAACTTTTCGAAGTGGAAGACCTTGTCGAACGAAATGGGTTTGAGCTGGTCGACCTCTTTGTAGAACAACGAGGCGCTCAGGCTCGGCATTACGAGCGTTCGGTTTAAGGTTCTTGCGGTTAGGCAAGCGCGTGCGAATGCGATCTTTTGGTTGTTCAGACCCCATACGATTTGGGGGACCTCTAAAAACTTTGGGTTTCCTCCTCCATTGTTGAGGTGTGGAAGCGATTCGATTCCGACAAAATCGGAGAATGTAGGAAGAAAAACTGATCGAAAAACCAACGCGGCGACGAACACCAACAACAAGAACATACATTTGCATACCGGAGAACTGAAATTCAAACCAAAGAATCTCGAATGTTTAAAACGAGTGGGTAAGAAGCCCATTGGTGGGGGTAATGAAATCAACTCGGATCCGATAAGGATCGAGGGTTTGAACCCACTTCGAGATCCAGCTCAACTACTTAATCAAGAAAGGAAAATGAAACCCTAATTAAAAATTCGATGAAATCAAGAAAAAGTAGTGCATAATATAAAAAAGAATAGGAAAAATACAGAACCAACCTTGAAAGCCCACATCCGATTGAACAATTATTTCTGTTGCGATTTTTTTGTTTGGGATCGTCGGCGCCGCCGGTGCTTTGGCTGAAGAAATGGTTGCAGGATGTGGGCGGCGGTGTTTTGGCTGACGAAATTTGGGAAAAATTGCAATTAAGTCCCTTAAGTTTATAAAATTTAGCATAAATTATAAGAGTTTATTGCAAATAGCACCCTGTGAAATCTCGGAGGCTCAAAACCCCTTGTGTTACAAATTACAATACATCAATAAAGGGTAGACTTGTCCTTTTACCTTTGATCCAACGAATAAAATCACAATGGGTCAAGTGTGTTATTTAAAAAAAATCACAGGGGATTTTATACTATTTTGAGATTACACATGGATATTTATTGCAAATTACTCATATAACATAGGCCAGATTACGGCCACCACTGATGTAAGGTATAATTATAAAAAAAAAAACCTATTTTTTGCATAATAACAACCACCCATCAACTATGTATTATTTTACAAGTCTACTTTTAAAATGTCAAATTTAGTGTTCATCCGGTCGGTAACTGATCGAATCGAACCAAATATTTATAATAAAATTTTGATAAATCGATTATTTATCGAACCAAATGATAAATGGTATGAAATTTTAGCGTATGTATAATTTTACGGAATGAATGCTTCTAAATTTATCAATTGGAAAGATTTTTTCATATTTTTTAATTTGACCGTAGATAAATAAGAGGTGGTTGTAATTTGCATAGATACGCAAATTACATATATTGTTTAAAGCTAGTGGGGGTTAGAAATTTGCAGTCAATGTCTTTATCAATTTAATATTGTGGCCAGTAATCCTTTTGTGGTAGAAGAATTATAATTAATTAAAACTGAGTTCACCATTGTTGAAAGATATCTAGATAACAAAGAAACTCCGGCCGGCGGCGGCTATGGCTTGGTTCTGGCCAATAATATCTGCGATCTTATTCATCTGTGTTCTTCAGAAAATTCTAAGCCCGAATAAGAACAAAAGACAGCCACCGGGCCCGATCGGGCTACCGATCATCGGCCATTTTCACCTATTGGGTAAAAATCCCCACCAAGATCTGCATCGATTAGCCCAAAAACATGGACCCATCATGTACCTCCGCTTCGGCTTCGTCCCCACGGTGGTCTTCTCTTCTCCCGCCGGAGCGGAGCTCGTACTCAAAACCCACGATCTCGTTTTCGCCGGCAGGCCTAGTATTCAGGCCGCCAAGCACATCAGCTACGATGGTAGAAACATTGTCTTCGCCCAGTACGGTTCTTACTGGCGGGACATGCGCAAACTGGCGACCATCAACTTGCTCAGCAGCTCCAAAATCAGCCAGTTTCAGCCCGTGCGGAAGGCGGAGCTCCGCCTCGCCGTCGATTCTCTCCGGCGAGCTGCCGCGGGGCGTGAAACCGTGGATGTTAGCGAGATGATTATGGGTACGATTGGGGATATGGTTTGCCTGATGGTGTTTGGGAGGAAGTTCGCCGGCGGTGGATTGGGTGGGAGCGGCGGGTTTAAATCTGTGATTGATGAGACGTTTCAGGTGGCGGCGAAGCCGAATCTCGGAGATTTTTTCCCGTACATGGGTACGATTGATCTTCAAGGGTTGACCCGTCGAATGAAAGAACTCAGCACAACTTTCGACGGGTTCTTGGAGAAGATTATCGACGACCACGTTCTTCAGAACAAGCAGCAGAAGAAGGAGAATCAAGACTTTGTCGACACCATGATGGCCATTATGGATTCCGGTGAAGCTGGATTCGAATTCGACCGCCGCCATGTCAAGGCTGTGCTCTTGGTAAAAAGTTCATTTCTTTCTCTTCAATTTTATTTGATGCCTACCAACTGTTTGTTATATTGCCCGAATGGTTTCTTGATTTCTTTTTTTCGTCTATAGGATATGCTTTTAGGAGGAACAGACACTTCATCCGCAACAATAGATTGGGCGCTCGCAGAACTCATTAGGCACCCACAAATCATGAAAAAACTCCAACAAGAACTCGAACAAGTCGTTGGCTTAGACCAATACGTGGAGGAGTCGCACCTCGAAAAACTCGACTACTTAAACTTCGTAGTCAAGGAAACCTTTAGGCTCCACCCGGTTGTCCCACTGTTCATCCACGAAGCCCTTGAAGATTGCACCGTCGAAGAATTCCATATCGCGAAAGGCACACGAATCATGGTGAATGTATGGTCTATGAGTAAAGACCCTAATGTGTGGCAAGACCCCGAAAAATTCTTTCCGGAGAGATTTATCGGGAGCGATTTGGATCTTCTCGGGCATGATTTCGAGCTCCTACCATTCGGGTCGGGCAGAAGATCCTGCCCGGGTCTTCAGTTGGGACTCACTACCGTTCGGTTAGTGTTGGCACAATTGGTTCATTGCTTCGATTGGGAGCTTACGAATGGGATGTCGCCTAATGAATTGGACATGTCCGAGCATTTTGGCCTAGTCACCGGTAAAGATAAGCATATCATGGCGATTCCCGTTTGCCGGTTGCGTAAATGAGTCGCGAATTTGAGTTCGAAACACAGAAAGCTCAAAGAATTTATTTTGTTGCTTAAGTATGTATATATTGTCTCTTTCACTATTATTAATCAACTCTGTGTGTGTATTTGTTGTTAACTCCGCCGGTGCCGTGGTTGTCTCTACCCCCGCCGGAGCAAAGCTCGTCCTTTGAGTTTTGTCACTTCCCCCAACGTGGTTGTCTCTCTTGTTTGGAAAACTACACATACATTCTGTGTTTTGATATTATAAGTTATTTATGTCCATGTCCTTGAGGTTATGTCTAATTACATCAAGACCCATTGTATTTGAAAATATTGCAGAAACATCCAAATTATTTTTTTTCTAACTAAAAATTGAAGTTAAACTTATTAAATAATATTTTTAGAGCTAATAGCACATACCCCGTGTTATTTCTAATTGATGAAAACACCCTTTGTTAAACCAATTAATATAAAGTCCTCTATGTTGTGTTTTTCAAAGCAAACCGATCCTTATTTCGAAATTTATTGTTGACTTACGTGAATTGACCAAATTACCCTTATAAAAGAAAGACTAAAATAGAAAAAAAGGGAAATAAAAAAAACGTAAAGCATTTGCTGTAAAACCCAAAGTCTGAAAGTCCTCTTCTCCGACGCACTTCGGTGTTCATGCCTGATATCTCGCCACAATCAAATTGGTGCCTTCTGGTTGGTCGGGAAAACGCCTTGCTTGTTCGAACCTATTTCGAGGCAGACCAACAACCTTATATTTCGCCGGAATCGAAGTTGTACGACACGATTTGGCCAGAAAAATGTATGCCCCCCCGTTAAATCTACATTGAACCAGCCCTCATAGCCAAAAGTAGCCTTGACAACGAATGGTAGCTTTGATAATGAAGATGGCAGCATACAGTGACGATGTGGAGCAGATTTGAAGAAGAGGGCTTTTTTCGAAAATCAAAAGGACTGAATTGAAAATTCTGAAAATTTTAATTAGGGGCTTATAGAATTCCGGTATGAAACTATAATTTTCAAAATTTTGAAGTTTAAGGATATGATTGACTTTTCGTGTCCAAGAACTTACACCAGCCGCACAATCCGCGATTGGGCATCACGAAAAGCTGTTAAGGGATTTTTTCGTTTGACTAACTTTTATAGGGGGTTCTTTGCTAATTCTTTTAACACGACGTTTTTTTTGACAATTAGAAATTACACAAGGGTGGTTCTTGCAAAAAACCCAATATTTGTATTCTTACTAAAATAGTAAGGGTAAAATTCATTTTGCAACCCTGTACTATATATGCGAAATGTATCATTTACCCCCTGTATAGAAAACATCAAACACCCCCTGCCGTTATTTTTTTTTTCTAATTCCGTTAGTCAAACCCTTTGACCGACTATGCAAAGAAATGTTGGCTTTTTTTTTTTTATAACGAAAATACCCCAAAAAATTTCTATATATATGATGCTTCGTTTTGACAAATGTTCACCGGATTTTTCACTTTTTTCTGCCCTTTTTTCACTTTATTCAATCATTTTTCTAACATTTTCAGCCATTTTTCTTATAAAGAAGCTTCGAATAAATAAAAAATGAAGCGTTACAGATTATGAATGTAAAACCCACAAAAGGGAAAACTAAAAGCCCTGAAATCTAAATGAAACCCTAAAATTGGAATAAAACCATATGAAAGAATTGCAAATTAAAAACAAAGTTTTTCATACTATAATGCAAAAATCCTCGAAAAAGAAAACCAAAAATAAAATCAAATTCTAAAATCGACAAAAAGCCCTAATTTGAACGAATGCTAGAAATCGTCAACAATCCACAAAAAATATGCCTAGAAAAAAAATTAGAAATTATATCAAACATAAAAACAGGGTAAAAGAGTCATTGCACACTCAAAATTTAACACCGTTAAAATTTGACCATTGACCGTTAAAAATAGGGGGGTGTTTGATATTTTCTATACATTAGGAGGGTAAATGATACCTTTGATATAGTACAGGGGTGCAAAATGAATTTTATCCAAATAATAATAAATCACAAATCGAGGGAAATAAAAATTTCCACGGATCGTCTTGATTCTCAATTCCTGTAAGTTCTAAGATATTATATATGCTCGGTTGGTTTTCTTTCAAAACCATGTGAAAACCGCACACAATGGTTGTGGCAGCGGCTGCGGAGCTCGGGTGCTGGCGTCTTGGCACTCGAGCAATGCGAACATAGGCATGATTTTCAGCACATTTTTAGCTCTCGAGCGGTTTTCACGCTCGAGCAGACAAAAAGAGACGCGTGATTGGTGCTAGGCCCCGAGCAAAACTTAAAATCGAGGACATAAATTATTATTATTAAAGTAAATAAATATATATATATATGTTAAGTAAGATATGGACATATTTAATAAAAAAGAGTTCTCCAATTTAACAAAAAAATATTATTGTTGAGAAATAAAAAAGACTAATAATATAACATGAAAAAATATAAGGTGCAAATTGAAGAAAATAAAATATAGAAAGAGATAGAGGTTTCAAAAAACATATATATATACTAGAGTAAAACAATATAAATGGAAGAGGTTAAGAGGACTAAATGGATTGAATGGAAGAGAAAGAGGGGTTAAAAAGTCAAAGAGAGAGAGAAAAAGGGATTGAAATAATAACAATTAAAAAAGACGGGCTCTATTTGAAAGTGGGCCTTGAGCTTGGGCCTGCTCGCCCTACTCCAGGGTTGTGCTTTCTCGGGCGCTGATGATTCAACGGTCGAGGGCTAAGTGTGCAACTCTTTCTCTTCGTTTTCATCCCACCGCTTGAGCGTTTCATACCAAGATAATCGACACAAGCTCAATATATTGTTTCAAAATATTTTCAACAATATTGTTTAAAATATTGAAATTTTGTTTTAAAATCAAGAAATTTGGAATTCAAATGAGAAAGGTATTTTCTAAATAAAATAAAAATCCGATCGAAATATGCAGAATAACAATCTCAGTCCCAATTTTCACCTTTGCTTGATGATGCAAAACTTTTTCATAACATGATAATCAACACACTAACAACATTAAGTAGGGGCAAAAATTGGAACAAGGCTCTCTTATCTTCCTATCACAATCGGAATTTTATATTATTTCAAAACATTATTTTTCATTCGAATTCCAAAATCTGATTTCTAAACAATATTTTGATTTTTATAAAAATATATCGATTTATTAAACATATTTCGAAAAATATTTTGAAACAATATATTGATTTTTTCAAAAAATTCACGTGATTTCAATTTTCAATCCAAATTTTATTATAAAATGCTATTTTACTATTTCACTCTATCTTATGTATTTTCATATTTTGTCTTTTCAGTGATAATGATGACTCTAGAAAATGAAATATAATTAAATCTCCACGAGTGCTCACATGGTTATCTTTTTATTGGTATAATAATATAATTAATTACATTAATGATCGTAGTTCATCAAGTAAGTATTAATAATCTCTTTATGGTTGCAGAAATCAAACCTGCCTTACGTACACTTCTATATACCTTATAATCGGGCTCACTAAAAATTAGGTTCGGCTCAAATATAATCGGGTTGAGCACTAGCGGAGTCAGAATTGTAAATTCGTGGGGGGCAAATACATTAAAATTTTTATAAGAGGAAACCGATAATTACATCTTATTTAAAAAATAGGGATTCGGGAATTGTTGGAGGGCAATGGCCCCCTCTGGCCCTATGCTGACTTCGCCACTGGGGCTGAGCCATCGGGCATCCTTAAGACCCCACTCAATTGCCGGTCCTAATTATGATAACTGACCACATCTCGGAGTAACATTTACCCAGTTTAATTGACTAAAAATAATATATTAAGCGAAAATTATAATTTTGTATATGTTGGTGTAACAACAAAATCTTATCTGCGATTTAAACAAACAAGAAAAACTTGCACAAAGATAACTTCTTGAATTAAAAAATAAATATTGCGGGTTACAAACTCTAATTTAATCCTCTGATTCTTCTCTCAAGAACAATATGCGTTTGGCTTTGAATTTCGGAGTTGAGTCGTTAACTTGATCTTCTCCGGATTTGATTTGGATTTGAATAACGTCTTCCAAGGGTCTTGCGACTTGAATCTCGGATCGAACGCTGAACTTTGACGAGTTTTGACTTGAAGATCTTGGAGTTCTTGATGGATTTGGCCCTTCAATCTTCCTTCGATCTTGATTTGTTGAACTTTGACGGGTTTTGACTTGAAGATCTTGGAGTTCTTGATGGATTTGGCCCTTCAGATCTTGATTTGTTGAAGAACGCCCTCGATTTGATGAAGAACGCCTTGAATTTGTTGAAGAACGACTTGAATATTGTAGAGAGAATTTTCTCCTACGGTTTTTCTTCTTCTTGAGTTGTGTCTTGAATTGTGTAGGGAGGGTCCCTATTTATAGTGGTAGAATAAGAGTCCCACATGAAGTCTTCTTGATGACTTGGCGCGATTTGATTGACTCTCTTTAAACTGATATTTATCTCTTATAACTTGGAAGAGAAGAAACAATCCTATTGGTCAATAATTAATTGATAATTATCTCCATGACTTATTTTGCAAGATAAATTATAATCTTGGGATTTAATATAATATAAAATATATTAAATTTACGTGTCTACAAATGCCCCCTCGAGACTTGTTCACGGACAATGCATCTTGGAGTGAATGAGTCTCGATAATTGCTCAACTTCAATTGCAGCTCGATCAAGCAAAGTACATATATCTTTTGAAATCATGACTGAACTTAGAGAGATTCTAAGTTGCCTACGTACCCTATAAAAGGGGATCAAGTCATAAAGTAGTTCAAAATATATCCTTTTGAGGGATGTCGTGCATAGTTTATACTCATGTGGACAAGGAGAAACATTTGCAGTTTAAGCTCGTGTTGAATGAGCATTTGACTTGAATTTGTAGATAGTTTATGCTCGTATCAAGGAGCCTTGACTCGATTTCAATATATAGATAGTTTATGCTCGTATCGAGGAGCCTTGACTTGATTTGGATATATAGATAGTTTATGCTCGTATCGAGGAGCCTTGACTTGATTTGGATATGTAGATAGTTTATGCTCGTATCAATGAACTTTGACTTGATTTGAATATGTAGATATTTTATGCTCGTATCGAGGAGCCTTGATTTGATCTGGATACGTAGATAGTTTATGCTCGTATCAAGGAGCCTTGATTTGATCTGGATATGTAGATAGTTTATGCTCGTATCAATGAGCATTGACTTGATTTGGATATGTAGATAGTTTATGCTCGTATCAAGGAGCCTTGATTTGACTTGGATATATAGATAATTCATGCTCGTATCGAGGAGCCTTGACTTGACTTGGATATATAGATAGTTTATGCTCATATCAAGGAGCCTTGATTTGATTTGGATAGTTTATCGTATCAAGGAGCTTTGGTTTGATTTGAACTTGAAGACATTTTAAACTCATGTCAAGGATTACTTCATTTGATGTAGACCTTTTAAACTCGTGTCAATGAGTATTTCACTTGATTCGGACATGTAGACCTTTTAAACTCGTGTCAATGAGTGCTTCATTTGATTTGGACATGTAGACCTTTTAAACTCGTGTCAAGGAGTGTTTCACTTGATTTAGACTTGTAGACCTTTTAAACTCGTGTAAATGAGTGCTTCATTTGATTTGGACATGTAGACCTTTTAAACTCGTGTCAGGGAGTGTTTCACTTGATTTGGACTTGTAGACCTTTTAAACTCGTGTCAAGAAGTATTTTATTTGATTTGGACATGTAGACCTTTTAAACTCGTGTCAATGAGTGTTTCATTTGATTTGACTTGTCATATTGCATAGGGTGTTGCTTCTTCAAAAGACTTGCCCCCATCCTCATGATCTTCTTGTTCTTCTTCGACATGTTCTTCATTGAGCTGGTACGGCTTTTAGAAGGGTGATTCTTCAATTTGATTTGCAAGTATGCTCAACTCCATATCATGTGCTCGAGTGGCCAACTCTTCAAAACTTTTAGGTTGAGTTACTTGAAGGATATATCGCAGTCTCCATTGCATTCCTTGGATGCACAGTTCAATAGCTGATGTCTCGGGTAGTCGATCCTTGCAATTAAGACTCAAATTTCTCCAACGGTTGATGTAGTGGATGACAGGTTCCTTCTTCCATTGGCGGGAATTGGTGAGCTCAATCATGCTGACTGTTCTTCGAGTGCTGTAAAAACGGTTGAGAAATTCTTCCTCCAAGTGCTTCCAACTATCAATGGAGTTTGCCCCCAAATCAATGTACCAATCAAACGCGTTGTCTTTGAGCGATCGGACGAATTTCTTGACGAGGTGATCTCCGTACGTCCCGACATCATTGCAAGTCTCGACGAAGTGTGCCACATGTTGCTTGGGGTTGCCTTTGCCGTCAAATTCTTGAAACTTTGGAGGTATATATATCCCATTGGCATCCTTAGATCATCAATCCTTTGCGTGTATGGCTTGACATAGGTTGATGGAGACTTCGAGCTTCCTTCGAACTTGTCTTTGATGGTTCCACTGATCAGCGTCATCACTTGATCTACATGAATCATCCCTTCTGGAGAAACTTGAAGTTCTTGAGCTGGAGCCTTCTCGTTTTCAACTGGTTGTTGATTTGTGGATGTCTCGACTTCGTCTTGAACCTCTATCTGATTCTCCACAGCTTGACTAGCATCGACTTTGTCCATCTTGTTGATCAACACGGCAATTTGAGAATCTCGCTGTTGAACATGCTTTGCGAGTCCCTCAATGGCCTTTGTCAAACTTGCAATTTGCTCCTCCATGGTTGTAGCGTTTGTTGTCATGACAGATGCCACCTCTGAGTAGTTTGATGTTGAACAAGGCATGGGCTGTGAAATCTCTCGTTTTGAACCTTCCACGTCTGCGCTTGTGTTGACAAGAGGTGGTAAGTCTTTCTGAATGGTTTGAGGCATCGAGTTAGTCTCGGAGGATGCTTGCAGCTTCTTAGTCATACTCCTTGTTCCTAAGCCCACACTTGATGAATCCGAAGTAGCAATCTTCATTGTGAACGTAGAGCAGTCACTGCAACACTTCGAGGATCATCGAGAGAGAGAAAAGATGAGAGGTAGAGATGTCCCACCGGGCGTGCCAAAATTTGTAGCAACAAATTCTTATCTGCGATTTAGACAAACAAGAAAAACTTGCACAAAGATAATTTATTTGAATTAAAATAAAATATTGCGGGTTACAAACTCTAATTTAATCCTCTGATTCTTCTCTCAAGAACAATATGCGTTTGGCTTTGAATTTCGGAGTTGAGTCGTTAACTTGATCTTCTCCGGATTTGATTTGGATTTGAATAACGTCTTCCAAGGGTCTTGCGACTTGAATCTCGGATCGAACGCTGAACTTTGACGAGTTTTGACTTGAAGATCTTGGAGTTCTTGATGGATTTGGCCCTTCAATCTTCCTTCGATCTTGATTTGTTGAACTTTGACGGGTTTTGACTTGAAGATCTTGGAGTTCTTGATGGATTTGGCCCTTCAGATCTTGATTTGTTGAATAACGCCCTCGATTTGATGAAGAACGCCTTGAATTTGTTGAAGAACGACTTGAATATTGTAGAGAGAATTTTCTCCTACGGTTTTTCTTCTTCTTGAGTTGTGTTTTGAATTGTGTAGGGAGGGTCCCTATTTATAGTGGTAGAATAAGAGTCCTACTTAAAGTCTACTTGATGATGTGGCGCGATTTGATTGGCTCTATTTAAATTGATATTTATCTCTTAGTACTTGGAAGAGAAGAAATAATCCTATTGGCCAATAATTAATTGATAATTATCTCCATAACTTATTTTGTAAGATAAATTATAATTCAATTTAGACACAATTTGATTGGCTAATTTAATTAACCAATTAATTAATTTTATGCGTCTAGAGTTGGTTCTTTAGAGATTTAGTCATATAAGTTGTCTTATTTCAATTTTACATCCAATAGTTATGCAAAATTAATATTTTTTAGTCCTGCTTCACTCGTACCTAACAAACTCGCATAAATGGTCATCTAATTTAGTTTATAGATGTGTGGTCTCATATAATTACAGTTCTACCGATGGTAAATTAGATGTCGAATTTATGAATTTCCAAGCGGGATCCATGAAAGTAAAATGTGTCACGTTTATTTGCCTAGTCATAAATGAACTGATTTTGAACTTCCGAAAAAGTACTAAGCCTGACTCATATATATATTTCAAGAAGCACACGCTGTTTTTGTCAACAACAAAGACAAAAGATACAAAATGGCCTGGTTTTGGCAAACAATTCTGATCATACTTTTAAATTGGATCATTCAAAAGTTCTTAACCTTGAAGAAGAAACAACCACCGGGCCCGATCGGGCTACCGATCATCGGCCATTTCCACCTATTGGGTAAAAATCCCCACCAAGATCTGCATCGATTAGCCCAAAAACATGGACCCATCATGTACCTCCGCTTCGGCTTCGTCCCCACGGTGGTCTTCTCCTCTCCCGCCGGAGCGGAGCTCGTCCTCAAAACCCACGATCTCGTTTTCGCCGGCAGGGCTAGTAATCAGGCCGCCAAGCACATCAGCTACGACGGTAGAAACATCGTATTCGCCCAGTACGGTTCTTACTGGCGCGACATGCGCAAACTGGCCACACTCAACTTGCTCAGCACCTCCAAAGTCAGCCAGTTTCAGCCCGTGAGGAAGGCGGAGCTCCGCCTCGCCGTCGATTCCCTCCGGCGAGCTGCCGCGGGGCGCGAAACCGTGGATGTTAGCGAGATGATTATGGGTACGATTGGGGATATGGTTTGCCTGATGGTGTTTGGGAGGAAGTTCGCCGGCGGTGAATTGGGTGGGAGCGGAGGCGGGTTTAAATATGTGATTGACGAGACGTTTCAGGTGGCGGCGAAGCCGAATCTCGGAGATTTTTTCCCGTACATGGGTACGATTGATCTTCAAGGGTTGACCCGTCGAATGAAAGAACTCAGCACAACTTTCGACGGGTTCTTGGAGAAGATTATCGACGACCACGTTCTTCAGAACAAGCAGCAGAAGAAGGAGAATCAAGACTTTGTCGACACCATGATGGCCATTATGGATTCCGGTGAAGCTGGATTCGAATTCGACCGCCGCCATGTCAAGGCTGTGCTCTTGGTAAAACAGTTCATTTCTTTCTCTTCAATTTTATTTGATGCCTACCAACTGTTTGTTATATTGCCCGAATGGTTTCTTGATTTCTTTTTTTCGTCTATAGGATATGCTTTTAGGAGGAACAGACACTTCATCCGCAACAATAGATTGGGCGCTCGCAGAACTCATTAGGCACCCACAAATCATGAAAAAACTCCAACAAGAACTCGAACAAGTCGTTGGCTTAGACCAATACGTGGAGGAGTCGCACCTCGAAAAACTCGACTACTTAAACTTCGTAGTCAAGGAAACCTTTAGGCTCCACCCGGTTGTCCCACTGTTCATCCACGAAGCCCTTGAAGATTGCACCGTCGAAGAATTCCATATCGCGAAAGGCACACGAATCATGGTGAATGTATGGTCTATGAGTAAAGACCCTAATGTGTGGCAAGACCCCGAAAAATTCTTTCCGGAGAGATTTATCGGGAGCAATTTGGATCTTCACGGGCATGATTTTGAGCTCCTACCATTCGGGTCGGGCAGGCGATCCTGCCCGGGTCTTCAGTTGGGACTCACTACCGTTCGGTTAGTGTTGGCACAATTGGTTCATTGCTTCGATTGGGAGCTTCCGAACGGGATGTCGCCTAGTGAATTGGACATGTCCGAGCATTTTGGCCTTGTGACCGGTAAAGATAAGCATATCATGGCCATTCCTGTTTGCCGGTTGCATAAATGAGTCGCGAATTTGAGTTCGAAACACGAAAAGCTCGAAGAATTTATTTGTTGCTTAAGTATGTATATATTGTCTATTTCACTATTATTAATCAACTGTGTGTGTGTATTTGTTGTTAACTCCGCCGGTGCCGTGGTTGTCTCTACCGCCCGCCGGAGCAAAGCTCGTCCTTTGAGTTTTGTATCTACCCCCACCGTGGTTGTCTCTCTTGTTTGGAAAACTACACAAACATCCTTTGTGTTTTGATATTATAAGTTATGTCCATGTCCTTGAGGTTATGTCTAATTACATCAAGACCCATTGCATTTGAAAATATTGCAGAAACATCCTTTGCACATACCCCGTGTTATTTCTAATTGATCAAAAACGCCATTTGTTAAAACAATTAGCAAGAAGTCCCATATGTTGTGTTTTTCAAAGCACACCGATCCTTATTTCAAAATTTATTGTTGACTTACGTCAATTGACCAAATTACCCTTATAAAAGAAATTAAAAAAAGAAAAAAAAGGGAAATACAGAAAACGCAAAGCATTTGCAGCAAAACCCAAAGTCTGAAAGTCCTCTTCTCCAACGCACTTCAGGGTTTATGCTTGACATTTCGCCACAATCAAATTGGTGCCTTCTGGTTGGTCGGGAAAACGCCTGCCTTGTTTGAACGTATTTGTTGTTAGCTCCGCCGTGGTTGTCTCTTCCGCCGCCGGAGCAAAGCTCGTCCTTTGAGTTTTGTTTCTCTTGTTTGTAAAAACTACACATACATTCTTTGAGTTTCGATATTATGCCTTTTCATTATTGTGAAATTCTACTTTTACCCTTGACCAATTTTTTAGTAAATTTATATGTTATGTCCGTGTCCATGAGGTTATGTCTAATTACATTCAGACCCGTCGCATTTAAAAGTATTGCAGAAACCTCCAAATTATTATTTTGCACGCATTCTCAATTCCTTAAGTTCTAAGATATTATGCTCGGTTGGTTTTCTTTCAAAACCATGGAAAAAACTCACACAATGGGTCGATCTCCTTTTCGGAAAATCAGTGAAAGACTTTGTTCATGGTTGTGGCAGCGGCTGCAGAGCTCGGGTGCTGGCTTCTTGGCATGTTGGGGCTAAATACCTAACACGCAAGTGCACGTATCGCAAACAAGTAGTAAAAGTGGACCCGTGAGAGTCGGATGTCGATCCCACAGGGAATACTCAAATTACCTAATCCTAAGTACCAAATTCTAACAATTATGATTTTTATCCAGCCTACGCAAGTTTGTCAATTTAATTCAATTAAACAATTAAACTAATTAAGAAAGCAAATAATCACGAGAAAATATCAATATAAAAACGGATCGAGGATTTTATCTTCCCCCTATGCGATAATTCATCACCCAAGTAAACCTCTATCATGCAAGTTACGATTCCCGATTATTAACCCAAGACACGAAATTACTCATAACTCGCTGTCGCGTGTATTATGAGTCTATTATTCATAAACGATTCACTATATGTCTATGCAAACCTAGTATGAATAAAACATTAAATATCAAGTCTCGAAAACGACTACCTAAGGTATTATCTGTATGTCTACGATAATACATGCAATTGACACACTCATCCGGTGAGAACTACTCGAAGGCTCTTCTATCCCTGTTATAATTATTAAAACGATCTGTCGATGCAATTCTAACAATAACACATAGCAACATAAATTAGCTACGTTCATGCGCTAAATAAGATCAAAATAGAATAGAAGAAATAATCGAGGAATTTAAACTTGCATAATATTAGAAAAATAGGTTCGAATCACCACATAGGGTTCCAACAAAATTCTAGATTAAAAGATTAGCTACTCATGTTCTCTACGGAAAGCATAATAAAATTACGAAAGTTCATGAAAATCGAAAAATAAAAGTAAAGGGAGAACTATGATGAAGATTCGTCAAGTCTTCGTTGCTCCGTTCACTTGCTCCTAGATTGCGTGTGTAAAAAGATAGATTCCTAATTGTGTGCTTTTTGGCCTTTAAATAAGGTGCAAAAATATAAGAGGGCGGTTTCCTTGTGTAATTAAACTTCCTTCACTGCGCCACTTCGTGAACCCGGACGCCCGTGCGAGAAATAGCTCTGAAATCCGGACGGCCGTCCGGTCTTTAATTCTTCAGAGTTTTGATTTTTTTTACTTTTGGCCCACTTTTTCTCCGAATTTGCAGTTTTTACCCCATAAGTTGCCAATTCTTCGATTTGTACCTAAAATACAAATAATAACCATTTTAAGCACCAATTATCGTTAAAACACACCAAAAGCTCCAATTAAAAGGTGCAATTAAGTGTAAAAATATACACTTAACATGGCACTCGAGTGAACGAACATATGCATGATTTTAAGCAAATTTTCAGAACTCGAGCGTTGTGGTTTTCACGCTCGAGCAGGCGAATAGAGATGCGTGATCTGAAGGTTTTTCTCGGTACTTGGGCGTATGGTCCGCCTTTGTGATTGGATGCCCTGGGCAAAACTTAAAATCGAGGTCATAAATTCTGATTGGAAAAGGAAAACAATATATGTAAGCAAGATATGGACTTATTTAAGAATGAAGGTGCTAATTGAAGAAAACAAAAATATAGAAAGAAATAGATGTTTTAAAAAAAAAATATATATATATATATATAGTTTTCGTCCACCTCTTGAGCTTTCCATACCAAGTTAATCAACACAACCTCAATATATAGTTTCAAAAATATTGTTTAGAAAATTAAAATATTGTCTAATAATTGAAATATTGTTTCAAAATCGGGATATTTGGAATTCAAATAAAAAATATACTTTAAATAAAACAAGTATCCGATCGGAATAAGCCGAATAAGAATCTCTATTCCAATTTTTACCCCTACTTAATGATGTTAAACTTTTACATTAAGTAGAGGTGAAAGTTGGAACAATGTATCCTCCTATCGCGATTGGAGTTTTATGTTATTTTAAAACAACATTTTTCATTCGAATTCCAAAAACTCTGATTTCTAAACAATATTTTGATTTATAAAAAAATATTTCGATATTTTAAACGATATTTTGAAACAATATATCATTTTTTCTAGAAATTTACGTGATTTCGATTTTCAATCAAATTTGTATTAGAAAAAGCTATTTAACTATTTCACTCTATCTTATGTATATTTTGTATATTCAGTGATAATAATGATTCTAGAAATATAATTAAATCTCCACGAGTGCTCACATAGTTATCTTTTTATAGGTATAAATAATATAATTAATTACATGAATGATCATCTTTATCAGTAGTTCATCAAGTATTAATAATCTCTTTATGAATGCAGAATCAAACCTGCCTTACGTACACTTGTATATACCTTATAATCGACTCACTAAAAAATAGGCTCGGCTCAAATATAATCAGGCCGAGCACTAGCGAAGTCAGAATTTTAAGTTCGCGGGGTTCAGATGCATTAAAACTTTCATGAAAGGAAACCGATAATTAAATCTTATTTAAAAAATAGGAATTCGAGAATTGTTAGGAGGCGATGGCCCCCTCTGGCCCTATACTTGCTTCACCACTAGGGTTGAGCCATCGGGCTTCCTTAAGACCCGGCTCAATTTCAGGTCCTAATTATGATAACTAATCACATTTCGGAGTAACATTTACTTAGTATTTAATTGACTAAAATTAATATATTAAGGGAAAATTGTAATTTTGGTCCTATATGTTAGTCTCTTTAGGGATTTAGTCTATAAGTTGTCTTATTTCAATTTTACATGCAATAATTATGCAAAGTTAGTATTTTTAGTCTTACTTTATTCGTACCTAACAAACTCGCATAAATTTATTTATATTGACACTTAAGAATTATAAATGCTCAGCTAATTTAGTTTATAGATGATGTGTTGTCTCATATAGTTAAAGTTCTACCAATGGTAAATTAGATGTCGAATTTATGAATTTCCAAGCGGCGTCCATATAAATAGTAAAATGCGCCAGGCTTATTTGTCGTGTTATAAAATTAAAAATCATTCAAAATAGGACTAAAAATACTATATTTGTAGAGTTATTGCATGTAGAATTGAAACATGACAAGTTAAAGGACTAAATTCCTAAATAAACCATCATAGAGGACCAAAACTACAATTTTCCCATATGCTAATATCAATAGCTTTTAGGTGGTGTTTGCAAATGATTATTTAAAAGCAGAAGTTAGTGATTGTGATTTAAGTTAGTTTTAAGTGCTTATTTCTAAAAGTTGGGGGTGTTTGCAAATATTTCGGAAAATGAACTAAAATTGAAAAAGCAGGGTTATGGGTGCTTTTAAAAAAATAGCTTAAAGCAGATTATTTTAAGAGAAGCAAAAGCAAAAGCAAAAGTTGATTTTGCAAACACTTAAAAACAGATTATGATAAAAAAAAAACCGCATAATCACTTTCAAAAAGCATTTGCAAACACCACCTTAATAGAAAATGCAGTATAACTAATCTCGACCGGAAGAGTACTACGTGGTGGTCCTGGTAATGGCACTATAATTTACATACTCTCTCCGTTTCACAATAACAATCACTTTGGAGAAATATTTATTTTTCATATTACTCTCTTTGATTTTGGAATCACTTTTTCCATTCCGACTTCCATAGTTCCGATTTCTGAATTTTTCAAAATAATCGACACACACTCAATATATTGTTTCAAAATTTTCAGAAACATTGTTTCAAAAATTGAAGTATTGTTTAAAAGTTGAAATATTGTTTCAAAATCGGGAGATTTGGAATTCAAATGAAAAATATATTTTTTAAATAAAACAAATATCCGATCGTAATAAGCCGAATAAGAATATATGTTCCAATTTTTACCCCTACTTAATGATGTAAGACTTTTACACAACAAGATAATCAACACACTAACTATATTAAGTAGGGGTGGAAACTGGAACAAGGTTCTCTTATCCTCCTATCACGATCGGAATTTTATATTATTCTAAAATAATATTTCTCATTCGAATTCCAAAAAATCTAATTTTAAACAATATTTCAATTTTTCAAAAAACATACACCGGTTTTTTAAACAATATTTCTAAAAATATTTTGAAACAATATATCGATTTTTTCTAAAAAATTACGTGATTTCTATTTTCAATCAAATTTTAATTGTAAAAAGCTATTTAACTATTTCACTCTATCTTATGTATAATTTGAATATTCAGTGATAATAATGATTCTAGAAATATAATTAAATCTCCACGTGTGATCACATGGTTATCTTTTTATTGGTATAAATAATATAATTAATTACATTAATGATCGTCTTTATCAGTAGTTCATCAAGTAAGTATTAATTATCTCTTTATGAATGCAGAAATCAAACCTGCCGTACGTGATTTGTATATACCTTATAATCAGCTCACTAAAAATCAAACTTTTATGAGAGGAAACTGATAATTAAATCTTCTTTAAAAAATAGGGATTCGAGAATTGTTGGGAGGTCATGGCCCCCTCTGGCCCTATGCTCGCTTCGCCACTGGGGCTGAGTCATCGGGGTTCTTTAAGACCCCCGCTCAATTGTCGGTCCTAATTATGATAACTGACCACATCTCGGAGTAACATTTACTCAATATTTAATTGACTAAAAATAATATATTCAGGGAAAATTGTAATTTTGGTCCTATATGTTGGTCTCTTTAGAGATTTAGTCCTCTAAGTTGTCTTATTTCAATTTTACATGCAATAATTATGCAAAATTAGTATTTTAGTTCTACTTTACTCGTACCTAACAAACTCGCATAAATTTATTTATATTGACACTTCAAAATTATAAATGCTCCTCTAATTTGGTTTATAGATGTGTGGTCTCATATAATTAAAGTTCTACCAATGGTAAATTTGATGTCGAATTTATGAATTTCCAAGCGACTCCATATAAGTAAAATGCGTCACGTTTATTTGCCCCGTCATAAAATGAAAAATCATGCAAAATAGGACTAAAAAATACAATATTTGCAAAGGTATTGCATTGCATGTAAAACTGAAACATGACAAGTTAGAGAACTAAATTCGTAAATAGGCCAACATAGAGGACCAAAATATGACTAAAAATACAATATTTGCAAAGGTATTGTTCTACGACTTTGACATATTGAATTGTTGCTAGAAGTTTTATTGGATGTTATGACGTGGTTTATTTTTATTATATCTATTTTAACTGAAATTTAGTAGTTATTACTCTCGACGTTGATTTTCTTATTTTTGGAAAATTATGAAATTCTCACAAAATTTCTGCTAATTTTTTAAATTCTAAAACTCATGTAATTTCTGATTTTTTTTTTCCGAATTTCAAAATTTCCGAACTTTTTAGAATTGAAATGAATTTTTTGATTCCGGAAATTTTGGAACTGATTTTGTACTTCCGAAAAAAATACTAGGCCAGTCATTATATATATATTTGAAGAAGAACATCTGTTTTGTCAACAACAAAAGAAAAAAGATACAAAATGGCATGGTTTTGGCAAACAACATCTGCAATTGTGATCATACTTGTAATTTGGATCATTCAAAAGTTCTTAACCATGGAGAAGAAGAAGAAGAAGAAACAACCACCGGGCCCGATCGGGCTACCGATCATCGGCCATTTCCACCTATTGGGTAAAAATCCCCACCAAGATATGCACCGTTTATCCGAAAAACACGGACCCATCATGCACCTCCGCCTCGGCTTCCTTCCAACCGTCGTGGTCTCATCCCCCGCCGGAGCCGAGCTCTTCCTCAAGACCCACGACCTTGTTTTCGCCGGCAGACCTCTCCACCAGGCCGCCAAGCACATGGTCTACGACGGCAGAGACATTGCATTCGGCCAGTACGGTTCTTACTGGCGGGATATCCGCAAGCTCTGCACGCTCAACTTGCTCAGCAGCCACAAGATCAACCAGTTCCGGCACACGCGGAAGGCGGAGCTCAGCCTCTTCGTCGGCTCTTTTCGGCGTGCCGCGTGCCAACGGGAAGCCCTGGATGTTAGCAAGATGATTACGGGCCTGAGTTGGGATATGATTTGTATGACGGTGTTCGGCCGGAAGTTCGCCGACAGTGATTTGGATGAGACGAAGGGGTTTAAATCTGTAATTGAGGAGATACTGCAGCTGGTCGCCATTCCTAATCTTGGAGATTTTTTCCCGTATGTCGGTTGGCTTGATCTTCAGGGTCTGACACGTAGGATGAAACAAGTACACAATTCTTTCGATGGGTTTCTCGAGAAGGTTATCGAAGATCATGGTTCGAACAATCAAGAGAATACGAAAAAGGATGCTAGAGACTTTGTCGACACTATGATGGCCATTATGGATTCCGGTGAAGCTGGATTCGATCTCGACCGCCGCCATGTCAAGGCTGTGCTTGCGGTTTGTTCTATTCAAATTCGATGCCTACCAACTGTTTGTTGTATTGCCCGAATGGTTTCTTGAAATTGTTTTTTTCTTTTTTTTTCCTCAAGGATATGCTTATAGGAGGAACCGACACTACGGCGGTAACTACCGATTGGGCACTCGCAGAACTCATTAGACACCCACAAATCATGAACAAACTCCAGCAAGAACTCGAACAAGTTGTCGGCATGGAGCAATACGTGGAGGAATCACACCTCGAGAAACTCGACTACTTGGATTTAGTTATTAAGGAAACATTCCGGTTACACCCCATCGTCCCATTATTGAACCACAAAGCCATGCAAGATTGCACCGTCGATGAATTCCATATACCGAAAGGAACACGAGTCATCGTGAACTTGTTGTCCATTTCAAGAGATCCGAACGTTTGGCAAGAACCCGAAAAGTTCTCACCAGAGAGGTTCGTTGGGATCGATACCGACTACCGGGGCATGGATTTCCGGTTCATACCTTTCGGATCGGGCAGAAGAATGTGCCCGGGGATTCATTTGGGACTCACGAGTCTTCGGTTAATGTTGGCCCAATTGATTCATTGCTTTGATTGGGAGCTTCCTAACGGGACGTCGCCTAACGAGCTGAATATGGCCGAGCATTTCGGTCTTGTGACTAGTAGAGATGAGCATCTCATGGCCATTCCTATTTACAGGTTGCATAAATGATTAAAAGTTCACTGCATTAATTAATTACCTAATTACCCCTATGTTATATCGAATTGCTGAAAAACTTTGCGTATTATGACTATTAGCAAAAACTTCCTTATGATTCAATTTTTTAGCACACGACCCTCTAAACCCATGTTTTTAGAGAGTAGTTCGCTAAAAATATTGAATCGTTTGGGGTTTTTTTGCTAATACATTAATATATGGGGTTTTCTTGATAATTCGAGAAAATACAGGGGTTCAAAGTAAAATAAACCCAAATGAAATGCATCGATGCATAATTAGAGTTTGAAGATATGTTCACTGATTTGAATAATGTATACAAGAACATGGAATAACATTCCTTTATGTGTGTATGATTTGCGTCTCCATTTTTTGGTTCGAATTTTCAGTTTTTTCAATTTATTCTGATAACCAAACCACTAATTCTGACGAACGATGATGCTATAAACATTTATTCCATCTAATTCTTAACAAATTAGTCTTTTAGCTAAATAAAAGATCCTTGATAATATTTTTCCTTTGAAAATCCAATATTTTTTTGTTGAATCGTTGATATTTTGTTTATTGGATTAATTTTTCTTTGCACCATCGAAATATACAATTTTAGCATTTTGCACCCCGAAAATAATTTATTACACTTTACACCCTAATACATGTTTAATCGTTCAAAATAATTTGTGACACATCGTATTTTTAATTTAATGGTGCAAAGTGTCAAATGAGCATAGTTGCAGAGTGCAAAATGTCAATTACCCTAATAATAATAATACCAAGGGAAATTTCATTTCATTTCAGATACTTCATATTAGATATCTAGATTGATTGGTGATCATTCTCATTTCTGCAATAATAACTTTATATATTTTTTTCTGATTTATTATTACAATAAAATAATAATATCCAAACATATATTATTTCAATTAATCTATAAATATTGACTTGTTTCAATAATTTCCTGCGAATGCCTCTATAAAAAAATTCGGGGCGCTGCCTTTAAATCCCTGAAATAATTTTGAAACCATATTACATTTCTCCGCATTATAAATACATAAATATACATATTAACTTCATTGCTCGTAGATTAACAATATAATCTAAATCTATATTTTTCGACTACGTATAAATGTCCAAATGTATCGTAAAAATATGTCATCACAAGATATTTTACACTACAAAATTAACTCAAACCATTTTTTTTCTCCATTTCCTCATCAATTCTTCCATTAATGTTCGGTTTTATTATTTATTCCAACAACAATTGCGGTAACAAAAACGATAACTCAAATTAATGTAGTTACATATTTAGGGCATGGCTGGTTAGCCGCCTTAGGAAATATGCATGTACATCGGCATGGGCACTTATCATCCTTTAAAATCTGCATCTCTGTCGACAACCGCGGAGTAGATGGTGGGCCCGTGATGCAAATATCTCGGCTGCCCCGATAGCGATGCCTGCATTTTATCTTGCAAACTTTTATGGTCACATTGCACCCAATGAATACGTTGCAAATTTGTGGTGCCGCGAGCGAGTCACCTGTAAATTAATTTCAAAATCATATTTCAAATAGAAATAAATCGATCAATTATGGCGTCATATTCAATTAATCTATACTACACCGAGAGTTACGTAGATTCATCTGGTGTAGCATAAAATAAACTGAAGAGTCGTGCCCCGGAAATAAAATACCGACACAGGCAAAAAGATGAAGAAGACCTATGGCAGAGATGAAGAGAAGGATAAAAATGGAAACACCGATTTGTGTTTTTGCCATCTTTTGTGAAGCGTAATTAGTATAAAAAAATAAATATAAAAGTTCTTATATATATATACACATAAGATATATATGTATTAATTAAATGGAAATGATAATTAATGTTGTTATTATCCAAAGGATATATTAAAGGTTATCTATACAGCTTGTAAGCATGTCTTAAATACTGATGATGTACCACAAAATATTTTTTTAAATATATATGAGTAATCGGTAAAAACTAAAAAGTACCCCAATGTAATTTTAGAATAGCAAAAGCCTCCTGTGATAAATAAACTAGCAAAAGGTTCCATGTGAATTTTTTTAAATAGCACATTCGATCCATTGTGATTTTAGCCTTTGACCAAAGGTGAAATGACAAATATGTCCTTCAATAAAATAATATAAAAAATCGTGATAACATAAAATAGAGGCCAAATTGAACCCAAACAATTATTAGAGGCCAAATTAAATGCAAAAATAATTGAAAATTATGGTAAATTTCTCAAACTTAAATTAGGGACTTGGTTGCAATTTCCCCAACCCACCACACCTCCACCAGCAACACCAATTCCCCCACCACTACTCCAACTCTCACCCTAAACTCCGACCAGTATCCAGGCAACCATCACCACCACCAATACGAACCCCAATCCCACCACCAATTCGGTGTGGTGCCGACTGGTTTTGAGACTTTTGAGGTGACCAAGATGAAGAAGAGAGAGGGGAGAGAAGAGGAGGAGAGATGGGCATCAACTTATAGGGGCAATTGCGTCATTTTACATAAAAAAATCACAATACCAGTTGCACAAATCACGAGTGAGCTGCACGATCTCGCGTCAGAGGTGAATTTGCCTTTGACTAAATTTCATAGGGGTCTTTTTGCTAATTTATTAATTACAGGGGACTTTTTCCTATTTGAAGATTACACAGGGTACTTTTTGCAGTTTACTCATATATATAATTATGGGCAAATTACGACGACCCCTGAGTTATGGTTAAATTACGAAAAATTCCCTTTTGTTTGGGTAATTACAGCCACCCCTCAACTATGTATTATCTTACGAAAGTATATACTGTTGTTTGGCTAGCTATATTTGTAGTTAAAAGTATATACTCAGGGTTAAATCTGTGAAACCAAACCAAAATTTCGATACGCCAAGTATTAAATAAACTTAATTGTTGGCTCATATCTCGTTCTAATTTCTTGATATATCCTTAATGTGGAACAAAAATACCATTTAAAGGGGCAACGTGCAACAGCAACACTCAATTTCAGTGAATAATCCATTATAATTTTTCTATCGGGGTAATGCGCCTAAACAATAACATTTTGAAGTGGTGCATTCACTTTTTGAAATTTGGAGGGGGTAAAGTGCAAAAATAGAAAATTATAGAGGATGAAGTGCAATTTTCCCTATTTATCGTAATCATTTCACACGATCAATCTCCCAAATTCATTTTACTTTGTGTTTTAAAAAATAAAATGTGTACTTAAATAGAATATATATTAATTTGATCCATCATAGTTTATAAAATATTCTCTAAAACTTTGTATATATGTATATAAATTACAAATTAATTCTAATTATGTCATTTAATGCTAATATATCCTTATATTAACCGCGTATTTTCTACCGAAAATATTGCATAAAAAAAAAAAAAAATATCGTTCACAGTTGATAATTAACTTAGCTGATCATTCCAAACAATGGCAACGCATTAATAAATTAAAGTCCAATATTTATTATTTCATTATCGCATTACTTAATTATTAATTAACCAAAGTAATTAACTCGATAATACATTATTAGCAAATTACACTAATCAAATACTCCACAGGCTGATAACTTTTATTGTAGAACTAATTGATATAAGGCCTTTGGTTTTGCAAGTTAACTAGCATGTAGGGTTCTTTACGGTTTCGCGCGGGCATTGAGTTTTGCTTGCGTATTTGCAACGGCATACGCATTTATTTTTGCCTCCGGTTGTACTTTTGAGGTTGATCGGTTGTACAACCAGATCGAGGGTTTGTGTACGTGGCGGCGATGGAGTGGATGACGTGGCGCAATATCCCGTGCCACGTGGATGCTGATGCGAGCATTGTTTCTTACATACATTTATAGTCACTGTGCAATTCATGAACTCATTGCACATTTGTGGACCTGCCTTTGACTCATCTGGAACAAAAAAATCATAAATAAATTAATAATAATAATATCATTGCTTCAATTTTAATTTAGGTTAGTATTTTTTTTATTACATTTTAGATGCATGTAATAAGGTGTTGTAGATGCTATACTGAGTGAAATAAATACACCGAGTATTATCATATCATCGAAAATTTACGTACAACCATACATGCAGATGCATGCATGCATGTGTGATTGGATCCCGATGAATATGATGTTCATCTAATAATCTATTTTTTCTACTATTATTATTAGTTTTTTTTTTTTTTTTTGTGTTGATTAAACTTGAAATTTATTCATGACGAAAAATGATAATTTATGAAATTAAGTGTAATAAAACAAGAAGTTACATAAAATATTTTACCAATGTGTGAAGAAAAAAAGATTATAACATACATAAAATCATTGCTTAAAAAAATATTTTATCTTAAATTAACATTTAATTATAAAGAAAAAAAATCTAAACTTCAATAAATAAATTCAAGTAATTTGCCGAAGTATCGGAACCATATATGTGGATTAGAAAATCGATTTTTCTTTTTCTTTTTCTTTTTTTTAGATACCAATTTATACCGTAAACCACGACAAAGTAACGAACCTATAGCGAAGATGAAGAGAAACGCGACAATGGAAAACAATATTGTTATCTTAGTCTCCATCTTCAAGAATGCTATATAAACTATATATTATAATTATTTTATATATAGATATATGCTTTGATGCAGAAGATATCTTCGATGTATGTTTGTATATATGTTGCAGAATCAACATGCATGGCTTCTCTTATATATACTGCATGAGAATGCGTGAAATTACGATTTTAACCTTTGTTTTGGTGAAAGTTGTGAGTTTTCTTTCAACGTAAGATATTGCAGATTTGGACATAATTAATGTTGTTATTATCCAGAGAGAATATTATATTCAAGTTTAACTACAAATATAGTTAAGTTTGTGTTTATCCCTATTTATTGTCTTTTTCGAATTTTGATGCAATGGCTAGTCGTTTTGATAAGTCACCGGCCCTTGGCTCGTACATTAATTAAAAGAAAGACAAAATAAAAGAAAAAAGATTCCATATAATTAATGTACAAGATTCTACTAAATTTCATACTGTAAGGGTGGATGTGTAAAAAAATTCACAGTTAAAGGGTGATTGTAATTACCCAAACATTAGGGTTTTTTTTCCTTAATTTAACCATGATTTAAGGGCGGCTGTAATTTACCTTCTATGAAAGATTCTATAGAACTTTGTATATATTCAATAGTTTTCTAATTATGTAATTTAATGCTAAATAAAATTAATTGTTGGCTCGTGCATGTCTCATTCTTTCCTGATATATCCTTATATTACTCGCGTACTTTCAAACGAAAATAAAGCATAAAAACATGAACAAATCTTCCGCAGTAGATAACTAATATTTTTAAGGGGCAATGTTCAGCAAAAATAACAAGGCAA